CAGCGTGTTGCCGGACAAGCTATCAGCCATCAGGTCGCGCCTTTGACCATTGAAAGCTGGGATCTCGACCGGACGATCCCAGTGCGTAGCGACTCGACCGCTAGCGATCCGTGTACAGGCGTAGTCTCGTGTTGTGAGGCTCCTGCGTCTCCACGGAAGCACACTGCCGCGAGTGGGGTAACGACCAATGGCATAGGCAGACCACTGCGGCTGCGCTACGCCCATCTTGGCTGAACGTCCATCATGACCTTGCAACGCTGAGTTGGGTCGCTCCGGAAACCGTCACCGGTCAAATTTCGAGCAGGTTACGGCAGGGCAGCTTGGCCGCGACGTATTTTTATTCTTGTTTTTACAGTATTGACTGTCCGTTGATCGTTCGGATGTCGATCTCGCGGTGGCTGACACACACTCTCTCTCTGTGCTCCGGATAGCTGGCAATGTCTAGACTCGATGGTCACTGTGCCTATGAACTCCAGTGGACTGCGCGGCTGATCAAGAACAAGACCTCTGTGGCAAGCGCTGACCAGCTGCGCGAGGCAATGTATTGCCGCTTTCTATGAATCGCAGCCGCGCACATTCGAATAGTTTCCGAACAAGAGACTTGGCAGTCGAGAAATTGCTTGGTCGACCCAGCCTTCGCAGGGTTTCGTCGTGAGCAGCAACGCAGATCAGCTCACTTCGAAACGAGGTCGAGGTCGAGGCTGTCAAATTGGCTCAAGGCGAGACATGCGGTCCACGCAGTTCCGTGCGCGTCGTTTCATTCTGCGCCTTGCAAATCAGTGCGAAGGGTGTGTGTGAGAGCCCTAGGCATGCATTGAGCAGCATCGAGCGAATCCTGGCCTCTCCCACTGCAACGTAAGCGACCCAGGTCCAGGCTAATGGCTTCCATACAGTAGCTGCCGGTGAGAACAATGAGCTGGTCATGCAAAAGCATGACGCGAGCCACGCGCGACCCTGCAGGCCTGGTTGGTGGCCTCAGATCTCCGTCTGAAAAAAAGCTTCGGACGAAGGTTCTTTTGGTGGCTTGTGGCCTTCCCTGAGCCTCTTCTTTTCTCCTGAGTGAGGTAAGGGCGTGCAGTGCAATGCATGACCACCCGCCGGCCCGTACCCATCACGACACTCTCGAGATAAGCATCTCAGCTGCCTCGCGCCGCGCTCAAGTCGTCAATGTCAGGGCTTTTGAGCTGTGTCATCGTAGCACTTTGGGCCACTGCGAGCGAGCCAGGATGAAGGGCAAGCATATGCAATCTTTTTCACATAAGGATGACATAATCAAGGTCTCTCCTTGGCCGATTTTTGGACCCTGAGTTTCTGAGGCCCATTTCGACACCATCACTTTTCAACTGTTCAGCAACTGCTGAGCATTGATCTGAGCCTTCACCACGAACAAGTCCATACCAACGAGGCTCAAGTCTGCCACCTCGCAAATGCCGTCTTGACACCAAGAAGCCGCACGACGCATCCGGAGCAATGCTGTGACCCAAACCCATTGCCTCTAACCATGCCGTCACACCCGCAATGCTGCGGAAAAGAGTCTCGATCCGAAGTCCGACCTCCTCTCCCCTCGGACTCGACAGTAGCGATGACGACTTTGGCATCGACGGTGGCGAGGTCGAAGCTCGTTCGGGGAAGCGCAAACGTCGACGACTCCAACCCGACGTGACTGCGTCTGCTCACACTGCAACGACGCTCCGAGACTTGCTCGGTCTGACGGCTGCCGACGACTTCATCGAGACATCCTCCGCACATCAAAAGGGCAATCACTATGGCTCAGCGCCGCGCTCCGCGCCTAGCTCCGACAACGACGGCTTCCATTCAGCCCCGACATTGAAGCGCTCACCTAGACCGTCTTCGTCTCTGTCGTCCTCCTCATCAGAAGATGAATTGGTCCTCCCACTATCGCGCGCAAGGCACAAGCCTGAGGGCTCTTCATCTCCCGGGATGTTGCGCAAAATCTCCGCCGAATCACCGACGCTCAGGTCGCCTCCTGGAAGTCAAAGATGTATCGACTCGGACACCGGCGACGACGAGCCAGAACAGGCCTTAAGCATCAACACCAATGGCCATGCGTCGTTGCCGTTGCTCCACGTCGAGAGCTCTTCGTTGACTGTTGGAGCCAGTCAGACAAGCGACGAAGAGGACGAAGTATCTCTTGCCGTTAGAGCGCCGAAACAGCTTTCCAAGTCGTCCATCGACAGACCGACTCCGGTGGAAACTTCTGCCGCGTCCTCCGACAACGCTCACGGCCAGAAGCCCCCCTTCCCCATTCCCCCCGAGCTCGGATCCATCGGTCCTCTGTCGCTCGCACCGGGCATCGAGGTACCTCAAAGCATCAATCGCTTTCTTCGATCCTACCAGCGCGAAGGCGTCGGGTTCTTGTACAAGTCTTATGCCGAAGGACGTGGCGCCTTGCTCGGCGACGATATGGGTCTCGGAAAGACCATACAGGTCATTGCATTCCTCTCGGCCATCATGGGCAAGACGGGCAGAGAAGAGGATGCCGACCGCCGAATTGAAGCCGTGCGCAGCGACAGGCAAGGCTCAGGGTACCATCGCGCCAACGGCATTTGGCCCACGTGCCTCATCATCTGCCCGAGCTCCGTCATCGACAACTGGCGTCTTGAGCTCGATACGTGGGGCTATTTCGAGCATGCTGCTTTCAGCGGGTCTCGCGCCAAGGACGCACTCGAATCGTTCCGTCGCGGCCGACTCGATATCCTCATCACCAGCCACGAGACGGCGTCACTGTCAATCGAGCAGTTGCGCGATCTCGACCTCTCCTGCGTGCTCATCGACGAGGCTCACAAGCTCAAGAACCCCATGTCGCAGATGACAAAGGCGATGCAAACGTTCAAGTGCAAAGCGCGATTCGCGCTGACTGGCACGGCAATCCAAAACACATACCGCGAGCTGTACACGCTGGCCGACTGGACCAATCCTGGGCTCCTGGGGACGGTCAAGGAATGGATCACCGAGATCGAGGAGCCGCTCAAGCACGGTCAGCGGCGCGGCGCGGATCCAGAACGCATCGCCGATGCGAGGACCCGAGCCGAGAAGCTCGTCAAGAATGTGCTGCCCATCTTCTTTCTTCGCCGCACCAAAGCTCTGATCGCTGATCAGCTGCCAAGCAAATTCGACAAGATCGTCTTCTGCCCGCTCACTCCCACGCAGCTGGACGTTTACAAGCGCATCCTATCCGAGGAAGAGGTCGACCTCATGAAACGACACGCCGATCCCTGCGACTGTGGACGACTCGATCCGGACACAGGCCTCGCCTACCGACGCCAGAACTGCTGCTTCAAACGTGACTCGAAGGGAGAATCCTGGAGCAAAAACATGCTCAAGTACATCTACCTGCTTCAGAAATGCTCGAATCACGTCGCGCTGGTCTTTCCGGACCCAGAAGATGCAAGCTCGAAAGAGCCGGATCGAGTCGAGAGGTACGAGCGACAGCTGTCGTACGTCCAGCTCATGTTCCCGGACAACTGGCAAGGCAAGCGCTGCAACGCTGCCAACGGCATGAATCCCGAATTCTGCGGCAAGTGGAAGGTGCTCGCCGGTCTACTGGAGCAGTGGCATGCCGATGGAGACAAGGTTCTATTGTTTTCGACCAATCTGCGACTGCTGCAGTTCGTCGAGTTCTTCCTGGCGCGCGAAGGTCACAGCTTTCTCAGGCTCGACGGGACCACGCCGCAGCCGCGAAGGCAGCAGCTCGTCAATCAATTCAATCAGGACAGCAGCATCTTTGTCTTTCTCATCTCGACCACGGCAGGCGGCACCGGTCTCAATTTGACAGCGGCGAATCGCGTCGTCGTCTTCGATCCGCATTGGAACCCTTCCCATGATCTGCAAGCCATGGATCGAGCGTATCGGTTCGGCCAATCCCGAGACGTCTACGTCTATCGTCTCATCGGAGCCGGCTCTCTCGAGGAAGTCATCTATGGTCGACAACTATACAAGCAGCAACAGATGGAGATCGGGTACAACGCCACAAAAGAGAGGCGCTACTTCGAAGGCGTAGCGGGCGATCAGGGCAGCCTCGGGGAGCTGTTCGGATGCAAAAACCTGTTCACGCTTCACGAGAGCAGCCTTGCCATGAAGTCGATCATCGACGAATGCAACATATCGGAGGTCACGTTCGCCTTAGAGGAGTATCTCAAGGCGGGCTCGCTCGAGGACCAAGCAAGCGTGGAAGCAGCTCTCACTCAGCGTGCTGAGAGCGAACAGACGGACAAGACGAATGATGTGACCAATGTCGACCCGAATTTGCAAACTCCCAGTGCCACTGGCGCGGATCCCATTCGTAGTATACTCGAAGGCATCGGGGTTGCCTACAGTCACGATCATGCAGCGCTGGTAGGCGACAGCGCTGCCGAGGCTGCACTGTATCGAGACGTGGCGCAGCTCAGCAAGGCGTCTCCTCAGCGACGAAGAAGTGTACAATCCAGAGTGACTTCCGACAGTCGGAAAGCGGAACAGCGGCCAGGCGCATCTAGAGCTTCATCCAGTGGCTCAAAGAAAGCGACTGTCAAGCAAGAAGCGACTGCAGCTGTTTGGCCGCCACCACGATCAAGAGTGCCTCCTACGAATGACGCAGCCACGCAAGAAGAGACGCAGTTAATGGTGGATGCAGAACAAGGCCTCTGTCGTGCTGTAGGTAACGACACCGCACCCACCCGTACGCCCAGCTTGCACGAAATAGCCGAGCTTCAGAACGTGACCGAGGAGGAGCTGGCAGCAGCGGTCAATGCTATGACTCCGATGGAACAGAAAGCATTCTTTGACGATGCTGTTCGTCGTTGGAAGCGAAAGCGGGCCGCTCAGGCAGAAGCGGTTGGCCAGCATCAGCATCAATTTTTCTAAAATGTTTGATCCTTCGTTTTCGCTGCAGACGCGCAAAATGCAGAGCTGACGTCATGACAGCAGCAGCGTTTTTGGTGAGACTTTTCCAGCTCGATGTGCAGTGAAGCCTGGTTTGGAAGGTGTAAAGCCCCACTGTGTTAACGATGATACAGAGCAAGCAAGCATAGATCAAGCACATCCCTGCCATATAAGGCTCAGGAGGCGAGCTTGAGCATGCGCTTTAGCCTCAAAGTCGAGGGGGACGAGAGGATCGGAGAATTGCTTTGTTCTGCAGAGGCTTGCATTCGACCCTGCATTTTCTACGGCACAGAACCCTCGATTTCGGGCCCAAGATCGTCGCAGCCTTCCAGCCTGTCCACGCGACGAAGTGCCTCTCATCTCGCTTAGAATCTGTCAGCATCGAGCGCGCTGCAGCCTGCAAAACGTCATTTTTGGCAGAGAGCTGCCGTCACTTTTCTGGCGCAGCAGATCGCACTTCTTCGGTGAGAAAGCATGCTCTCCCGGAACAGTCAGAACACTTGCCGTCGGTGCAACCCTTCCGAGGGTGCGCAGTTGGACCCTCTCGCCTTGCAGTCACCTTTTCACCGCCGCTGCTGTTGCTGACCATGTCGCAGCTGTTGCGCTGATCGAGTTCTGCCTTTCGCTCTCCGATCTTTAAGCGTTCTTGACATTTCAAGCTACCGGTCATCAGCCTCTTCCATCTGTTGCAACAATCTACCTTTCCTTCCTTCCACCTCATGACTCTCTGATACCCATCACGACCCTTTCTCTTCCATCTCCAACGTGGTGTCTTGATTGTGCTCTCGTCGACAGGCCTCATCGCTACGCCTAGCAGCCTCCATCCAAGATGAACGACGCACAGGACAGCAAACGACGCTCTGCCTCAATGAAGAGGACACATTCACATCAGCACTATGCGCCGACTATCCCGATACCATCACCTCCGCCTCTGACGGAAATTTCTGCGTGCCCGCCATCGTCTTCACGAACACCCTTGCTGCTGGGCGACGAAAAGACAGCGGAAGCTGGGCCTTCACGACCGTCACATATCCCTCGGCGGCCAGTCCTCGCCCGACGAAGAACGTCCAAAAAGGAATACGTCCACCCATACCTCTCGGGCAACTTTGCACCCGTCACCACCGAGATCCCACTCACAGACTGTCTCTTTGAAGGCACAATACCGAAAGAGTTTGCGGGCAGCCAATACGTTCGCAATGGAGGCAACCCGCTAGCCAACTCGGAGCTGGACCGCGATGCGCACTGGTTCGATGCAGACGGCATGCTAGCCGGCGTCCTCTTCCGACGCACACCCGAAGGCGATATCCAACCATGCTTCCTCAACCGGTTCATCCTCACCGATCTGCTGCTCTCGACACCAGAGCACTCACGGCTACCCTTCGTGCCGAGCATCGCGACGCTCGTCAACCCACACACGTCCATCTTCTGGCTCATGTGCGAGATCATCCGCACCTTCATCCTCTCCATGCTCACCTGGTTGCCCGGTCTCGGTCTCGGCAGCGACCAGAAGCTGAAGCGCATTAGCGTGGCCAACACCAGTGTCTTCTGGCATGACGGCAAGGCGATGGCGGGCTGCGAGAGTGGACCGCCGATGCGGGTCATGCTACCTGGTCTCGAGACGGCGGGCTGGTACACGGGCGAGGACGATGACGAGGATCAGGCATTCGATGAGAAGAGCGGAAAGGCGATCACTAGCAAAAGCGACAAGAAAGGATTCGGCGGTGGACCGCCCATCATCAGCATGCTGCGCGAATTCACCACCGCCCACCCGAAAGTCGACCCCAAGACTCAGGAGCTTCTTCTTTACCACATGTGCTTCGAGCCGCCCTACCTGCGCATCAGCGTCATCCCACCTAGTCGATCGCAGCAATCTCTCCAAGGAACTGACGCGAGAACGATCAAGGGCAAAGCGGTGCGTGGGCTCAAACAGCCCAAGATGATGCACGACTTTGGCGCCACCTCGACGCACACGGTCATCATCGACGTGCCGCTCTCGCTCGACATGATGAATCTCGTTCGTGGCAAGCCGATTCTGCACTACGACCCAACCCAGGCGTGTCGGTTCGGAGTTCTGCCGCGATACGCACCGGAGGAGGTGCGCTGGTTCGAGAGTCCCGAGGCGTGCTGCGTGTATCACACTGCGAACAGCTGGAACGACGAAGGCAAGCTCGGTGCGGAGGAGGCCGGCACTACGGGCATCAACATGCTCGGTTGCCGACTCAACAGCGCTACGCTCGTCTATTCTGCCGGAAACTTGCTTCCGCCATCGCACGTCCTACCGCCACCGAATTGTCCTGAAAAGTGTCAGCTCTACTACTGGCGTTTCGACCTGGAGCGTTCTGACACCAACATGGTAAGCCACGAATTCGCGCTCTCCGATGTGCCGTTCGAGTTCCCGACGATCAACGAGGAGTACTCGATGCAGCAGGCGCGCTACGTCTACGGCACGTCGATGCGCGACGGGACGTTCGATGCCGGGCTCGGCAAGGCCGCGAAGATCGATGCGCTGGTCAAGATCGACGCGGCTTCTCTCATCCGCAAGGGTAAGGCGATGTGGGGTCAAGGTCGATTGCGTGCGGGGGACAGCGTGGATACTCGGACTGTCGAGGAGGTGCTCTCTGCGCAACGCGATGGTACCGCTACGCCGGATGATGCGATCAAGATCTTCGAGATGCCCCGAGGCTGGTATGCGCAAGAAACGACGTTTGTACCGCGACGCACAGGCTCTTGCGAGGAAGACGACGGCTGGCTCGTATGCTACGTGTTTGACGAGGCGACAGGACTGCATCCCTCCACGGGCGACGTGCTTCCGGGCGCAACGAGCGAGCTGTGGATCATCGATGCGAAGAACATGCGAGACGTCGTGTGCCGCGTCAAGCTACCCCAACGTGTGCCGTACGGACTGCACGGAACGCTGTTTACGGAGGAGCAGATCGCAGCGCAGAAACCGATCGATCCGAAACACGTCAGGAGCTGGGCTCAGTCGGTGGACCGGGCGGATCCGTTCTCGGAAAGCCTCGTCGGGTCGACGGTGTACAGCGCGAGTGGAAAGGCAGGGAGCAAGTTCAAGGATGGCAAGGAGACGTATGCGGCGTTCTTGCGGGATCCCGTCAGGATTGGAGCTTGGTGGATCAAGAGGAACATCGAGCTGCTGATTGCCTAGCAGAGGTACTGTGGCCAGCTTTCGTATGCATACGCACCAACAATCTCATGAGGTTTGCATCGAAGGAGCGACTGAAATCGTATTGCTGGCTGCGAATCGAAAGTGAGAAGTGTCATCCTCGCAGGAGAGTCAGCTGGCTCCCCATGCCACTTGTCAGCGACCGACTGGACCTGAAGATCCTCACCCTCTCATCCATGTCCCTGATCCTCGCGAAGAACTCGGCACCAATGCTCCTCCTGGACCCCGTCGTTGTCCTCGCGACTCTTTTTCTCCCCTTTGCGCCCCTATTGATCCTCACCCTCCCGCTCCCGAACTTGAACTCCTTCCCCTTGACCTCGTGCTTATACATGCATTCGTCGCCAAACATGCAGAACGGCTCCTTTCCCTTCCGCGATGCCAAACTCTTTTCGAAGTTCTTGCAGGGTGTTTGTGCGGCTCGCTCCCTAAAACGGGCGAGCGCAAGTGTGCGCGCGGCGCCGGTGAAGGGTTGGGGCGTGACGAAGGTGAACCGGGAAGCGGTGCGGCAGACGGGACAGTCCTTGTTCTTGGCCTGGGTGTGCTGACGCCGCCACCGATTGAGACAGGGTGGGCAGAAGTGGTGGTCGCAGTTGGGGTGTTGGGCGTAGACGGTGGGGAGCTCCATGCAGATGGAGCACGGGAGGGTGTTTGAGGTGACGGATGCGGGGACGCCTTTCAGGTTTGATCGAGGTCGAGGTGCCTTTGCAGAGGGCTCGGAAGGGATATCTTGCCAGGCATCGTCGTCATCGGAGTCATTCTGCGCGGTAGGCAGAAAGTCAGTGGCGCTTGCCGACAATGTGGAGCGAGACGAGGAATCCGGTTCAAATGCTGAAGCCTGTGCGGACAGACGAGAGCTGCTGGGTCCTGCATCCGTCGCTGAGGGCGCCGCATCTACAGGCTGAACCGGACGCCGGGTCTCGTCATGAGAAAAGAGACACTTGGCTCCCCTCCTGCATCGACCTGACCGAAGATAGTATCGACAGGGCTTGTCCAGCTTGGTCTGCGTCGAGAGACCTGGCAGAGTGCCTGTGCTCGATTCGGCCTGCATCTCGCTTTCAGATGAGCTCTCTCTTGCCTGAGCTAAGACAGACGCGCTGAATGGTGTCGAGCAGATCGCAGTTGATAGCGAGATGCCATCAAGAGCGGGGCAGTTCAGGGTCCAAACGGAGCTCTAATTGCGGGCCGCGTGCCACCTGCGCTGCGCCTTTGCTAGACGGCCGAGTGAGAGAGTGGAGTGTCACCAAAAAAAAAAGTGAGCGAAAAGGGTTCAAAAATTTCCCTTTTGCGAGGCGTGCAAAGCAAGAAGAAAACCGAAATTTTTGCGGTTGAGGCTCAGCTCAAATTTGCTTCCAGCTTTGCCCTTCTTCTCCTCTACCTTCTCCTCACCCTCTGGTCACCCATTGCTCATCTGCGAGCCATTCTGCCATCGTCGGTGACAGCATCTGATCGCAAACGCACTCAGCTCACTCGGAGCGAAGACTCAGTTCAGCAAGGTCGAGTTTCTTACATACGATCGTCATCCGAGGCCGTCGTCAACACCCATCCGTACTTCAGATCTGTCCGCGCCCCGACTTGCAATTGATCTATCCAGCACAGCAATACATATACCCACAAGCATAGCAGTCAAGCCCCTCATCGAGCACAAACAAGATGGCCGTCGTCAAAGGAGGCCCCTCCAAAAACAACACAAAGTCCACCGGCATCAAGCGTGTCAAGGGTGAGAACTTCTACCGCGATGCCAAGAAGGCCAAGGTCGTCAAGCTTCTCGCCAAGGACGGCATCGCCTCCAAGGCCATCCGCGACAAGAACGGAAAGATCATCCAGGCCGCCGAGTTCCAGAGCAGCGAAGCAAAGCCTGGCCGTGTCCAGCCTGACAAGCGATGGTTCGGCAACACCCGCGTCATCTCCCAGGATGCGCTCGACCACTTCCGAACCTCGCTCGGCTCGCGTGTTAACGACCCGTACTCGGTGCTTTTGCGCAGGAACAAGCTGCCCATGTCGCTCATCCAAGACCCTGGCAAGGGCAAGGCTCCTTCTCTCACCACCCTCGAGCCCTACTCAGATACCTTTGGTCCCGGCGCGCAGCGAAAGCGTCCTCGTCTCGATGGCGGCATGAGCTCGTTCGAAGAGCTCGCCATGAGCAGTGCGCAGGCTGGTGAGGCTGCCGACGTGAAGCAAGCTGCTCTCGAAGCCAAAGCCGCCGGTGTCGGCCTCGTTCCCTCTGACTACGAGGTCGGCTCCAGCGCTGAGCGATCCGCCAACGGATTTACCGCCGATGCAGACGAGCTCTACGAGATCCCCGTCACCCGCGGTCGATCCGAGCCCATCTACAGCAAAGGTCAATCCAGACGTATCTGGGGTGAGCTCTACAAGGTCATCGACTCGTCCGACGTCATCATCCACGTTCTCGACGCGCGTGATCCCATGGGCACTCGATGCCGCAGCGTCGAAAAGCACATTCGCGACGAGAAGCCACACAAGCACCTCGTCTTCCTCCTCAACAAGGTCGATCTTGTCCCCACCTGGGTCACTGTAAGTTTCCATCTCACTCTCCTGTCTCTTCTTCTCCCTATTTCTTTTCGCCTCAAGACGAACACCCCACAATCATGTCAAGTACTGTGCCGTCGCCCCCTCTTCGGAGAAGCGACGTCAGTGGCGCAAAAACTGTTACGAATGTGGAAGAAGAACGGCGTCGATACGATCTCCCCCTCATAGCTATGTCTCCCCTCTCGACTTCCGGGTCGAGAGGCGTTCGGGACATGCCCACTCCCAGACCTTCTTCCGCCGATAAAGGCCGGGCAGACCGGGAGGGCCTGGAGCGTCGACGTCGGGGTTCCTATATGAGTTGAGCTTACGGCGCTCCAATTTCTTCTACGCCGTGCTCGTAGTCATGGAACCAACATTTCTCCCGCTCTCGCTCATCTTGTTATGGATTGCAGAGCGTCATTGCTGACCCTTGTTTTTACGATGGCTTTGCTGCTGTTCTAGGCTCGATGGGTCAAGCTCCTCTCGAAAGACTATCCGACGATCGCCTTCCACGCCAACATCAACAACTCGTTCGGCAAAGGTTCGCTCATCCAGCTTCTTCGTCAATTCAGCGTTCTTCACTCGGACAAGAAGCAGATCAGCGTCGGCTTCGTCGGCTACCCCAACACGGGCAAGTCGTCGATCATCAACACGCTCAAGAAGAAGAAGGTGTGCAATGTGGCGCCGATCCCAGGCGAGACCAAGGTGTGGCAGTACATCTCGCTCATGCGTCGGATCTACCTCATCGACTGTCCTGGTATCGTGCCTGTGTCGGCGCACGATTCCGAGACGGGTACGGTGCTGAAGGGCGTTGTGAGGGTGGAGAACCTCGAGACGCCTGCCGAGCACATTCCGGCGTTGCTATCGCGCGTCAAGCCCGAATACATCAGGCGCACGTACAGTCTGGAGAAGTGGAGCAACTCGGAGGACTTCCTGGGGCAGATCGCCAAGCGCATGGGTAAGCTGCTCAAGGGTGGCGAGCCGGATCTGGAGACGGTGGCCAAGATGGTGCTCAACGACTGGATCAGGGGCAAGATCCCGTTCTTTGTCGCTCCGGCCATGCCGGAGGACAAGGGCAAGGCCAAGGCCACAGTCGAAGAGGTTGTCGAGGCGGATGCGGAGGTGGAGGCGGCGACGGACAAGTTGCTCAAGAGGAAGAAGGTCAAGGGTGTCGAGCAGCCGCTCAAGCAGATTGCGGTGGCGACCAAGTTTACGCGCGAAGACATCGAGGCCGGTCGACCGGAGGACTATGTGATGGAGCGCGACGAGGACGAGCCGGTGCCCGAGGTGGCTGTCGACGAAGACGCCAGTTTCGACAGCGACGATGCCGCCGAAGACGATGACGACGAGGATGACGACGAAGATGACGAGGGCGATGCGCTCGAAGACCTCAACTGGGACGACGTCTTCCAAGGCGAGTCGGACGCCGAAGCTGTGGCAGACGACGACGAGGAGGAGGCGGATACCACTGCCAAGTCTTCGCCCGGCAAACGCGCCGCTGCTGCTGATGAGGACGACGAGGAGGACCCCCGTAAGAAGTCAAAGAAGGGCGAGAGGATGACGACGAGCAAGCGCAAGGCCGAGAACTACTATACGCACGCCAACGTCAAGAACAAGAGCCGAAAGGGCAAGCCTCAGGCCGAGCCCAAGGCCAAGGAGCGCGGGCCCAAGGTCGGGGCGAATGGCAAGGGTGCTGCTCAGGGACGTCGTCGCAAGTGAGCTGGTCTGGATTGTCATCGCATATTTGTACTTGTAGCATCATTGGGAAGGTTTTCAGCATCATCCGAGTCTGTTCAAACTGCTGCATTGACGAATTCGTTCGACGACAGCTGAAGACAGTGACAAGAAATCAATTGAGAAGCACAAACGGGTTGAGAGATCTTGAGAAGGGATGGCATTGCATGCAAATGGCGGAACAGGTGAAACACGAGGAAGGCTGGCAGGACGATGCTCAGCACCGCCGGTCCAAACCTTCCTCGACCAGTCGTCCGAACTACCGTAGCCCAACCTTGACCGCCAAGCCTGTCCCACGTCGCGCAGTTGCATCAAATCCAGAGAGGCTGCAATCGAAGTCTTCGAGACTGAATACTTAGCCCTCTCCTACGTGATCTGATGAACGTGCGTGTGCATGGTTCCAGGCCAGCCGTGCCCCAAGGTCGATGCTACGAAAGCCCAAAACGCAGCTGGATATTGACGAAGGGGAGAAAAATTGAAAGATCAACTCCCATATAGCCCTTCCTGAATTATGGTTCAAAATGGTAAAAGGCAATTTTGAAGTACCTTGAGACAGGAAGGAGGGAGTGTGGTGTGGAACGAACAGAAGTTGCGAGGCCAGCATTGGTTTATGTACTCTTTGAGAGAATTCTTCTGGCGTTGGCGAGCGAAAATGCGGTTGCAGACAGGCTCTTGAGGGTCGGCAGGAATGATTCACTTGCTCGAAGACGAGTGTGAATTTCGAGTTTGAAGGGCCGCAGTGAGAATTTGGAAAGGTAAACACGGCACATGACTGAGTCGGGACACGCGCGACTGCTGAGAAGACCAACACCTGATTCGGGAAAAAGTATGTTTATTCGCTCAAGTCGAGACCTTCTTCCCATCACTTGATCCGATGATGGCATTGGACCGGAATGATGCTTGCGACGTCCAGCAGGGGTGGCCAACAGACTAATGAACGAGATATCATCCCGTAACTTCAGGCCAAAGCGTGATCCTGTGGAGCAGGGCACGAGTTTGTGCGCAGCGGACTGCAATGAGTCTTCCATTCTAAGCGAAGGAACTTTTCTTGGTTCGGCAAGCGTCACTAAAGAGAGAGATGCCGGTGGTCACAATGAAGCCATCAGAGCCATACAGAGATAGATGGAGCGTGCAAAGGCGAATCAGAGTGTTGCTGCAAGGCCGTCTGTTATGCAAATTGATGCATGAATTTGCCGTCCCCCACAAGCCTTTGCCCTTCCCGATCCGTTGCTCAATGAGCCATGTCGACTTTTTGAGCTCCTCTTCCCCTACCAACATCATCCGCCAAGCCTTCCTCAAGCATCTCCACCACCCATCCTCGACCTCGACTCTCGCATCTGCAATGCCGCTTCCGACAATCTAGACTTCTTGCTTCTCTGCACTCCGCATCGTCGAGACGTTGTTCGCACTGCCTTCTGGCCAACTACCACTCACCAAGCTCCTCATATAACATCAGCTCGCAATGAAGCGTTGGAAGCTGGTCAAAGATCAGCTTGACTCCAAGCGCGATGCCTCCAGCAATCTTGACCCGGCACGGCCAGCCCCACCCTACATGGGCGGAGGCATCTCATCATCCTCTTACCTCCAAGAACTTCCATACGGCAACTCGCAATATGGTCGCAGCCCGTCCACATCCAACCTCGTCCTGCCAATGACGAAAAGCTCAAGTCGCACCTCTCTCGACATTCCAGGCCGTCTCAACAACTTGATCACCAAGTCCTCCTCGAACACCGATCTTACCTCCGCATTCAAGAAGTTTCCTCGACCACGACGCCGCACCAGCTCCAACAGCTTCATCGACGCATCACCCAATGCTTCTCCTCCGAAGATCAGTAGCCCGCGCAAGTGGGTCAACAACCTTCTCAATCAAGCTGGTCCAAGCACAGAGCAGCTCGAGACCAGAGCGCAGGCTCGTACGCGCGCCGAGTCGGACGCCACCATGTCAACCCCGGCTCCCGTCAGCACCCTCGTCCTGCAGCGCGGCGATGCAGCATCATCATCTCGACCAGTCTACACCATTGACTCGGGTCTGCAGCGCAAAATGTCCAACACCGGCCGCTCTGCCAGCATCTACTCGTCTCATCTCAGCTCAGCTTCTCGGTCGACACCAGATCTGCATCGCAACTCTGTCACGCGGCATCTCAACAACGGTGCCTTGCTCATGGACGTGTCTGGTCCATTAACGTCTATTGCACACAGGTCACATGAAGGGGAGGATACAGTAACTCGCTCTGCACTGGTCGTCCGCAATCTCGACGAAGCGCCAAGGGCCGCCTACTCAGCTGTGCCCGCCCCGTCGGCCTCTGCTGGTCTTAAAGCGCTTTCACAGATGCGCAATCCATTCTCCGCACAGCAGAACAGAAGCGAGGAAGACGACGACATTGATGCCTCCATCGCCCACGATCGGTCGAACAACCAATTGGCGCCGGGCGAACAGGCGGTGCTCGACATGCTCGACTCGATGACAGGCGCCAGCAGTGTACCCTACCAGACCGTTACGCCTGGCACCTTAACCAGACCCCGCTCTTTTGCTGCTGCGACAGAACATCAGCGCTCCTGGTCCGAGTACAGTCAGGATCTGCGCTCGTCAGCTTCGGGCAGATCTTCACCAGCAGCTGGGGTCAGAGAGGCTATCCGTCAGCGCGAGCTTCTCGACTCTGACGCGCCAAAGGATTCGACATTGCGGCCAAGGCTCCACTCAACTCGGTCGGCACTGCAAGAGAAGGCGTCTGCTTACCTCAATACTGCTGGCGCCAAGGACGTAGAGACTCTACGCACTGGCGCAACATCATCGTCCACCTACCATCACCACCATGCGCAAGCGCATTCTCAAAAGATCTCACGCGTCGCCGTCCCCACCACCGAAATCCGGCTGCAGTCCCCACCGACCACTTCCGCATCGACCGCATTCCCGCGACGCGCAAACCAACTCTCACCCATCGACAGCAGCCTTCTCAGCACCTCCGTCAATGCCACGAGTCTGTGGAGCAAGCCGGGTAACGCACCCGACACGCCTTCGAGCACGCAAGATCTTCCCTCGCCCATGCCGTGGTCCTCAGCATCGGAGCAAGCGCCCAAGTGGCCCATTAGCGGACATTACGCTGTCGAGCCTGTGGTCACGCCCATCGAGATGAAAGGAGAGAGGCGGTTGGAAGCGTTGCAACCAGTCAAGCCGAACATGCATCGCCAGCAGACCAACTTTACGGAAGCGACGAGCGTCTCTTCTGGGTCTGGAGGCTTTGGCGCCTCGCAAGGGAGTTTGCAGAAGGAGAACGTTGCCGAGGCCGAAGGCACAGATGCAGCGCTAAAGAACACAGCTGCACAACATCCTACATCAGCCGTGATCAGCCGCCCGCTCTCGTTTGTCGGATCGAACAGCAGCTCCCTCGCCGCCGCTCGCAAAGCCGCCATCCCACCAACCTCGCAATCGCGTCCCACCTCGGCGATATTCGGCAGCACCTCGTCCGTCGCAGCAGTAGCCAGAGAGCTGCAACAGCGCTCGAACACGCCCTCGAGACCATCCAGCCCCGAAAAGTTTGCTTCCTCGTCACCGACCAAGGCCAAAGATCTCATCGCCATGTTCGAGAGCAGCTCGGCTACCGCTTCGCCGTCGTCCGAGCTCGCACGCAACGTGACGCCCAAGAGCAAGCTCAAGAGGGGGGTCGTTGACGTTGATCCGCCTCTCCGACGGCAGACGCCGCTCGGTGTGTCCGTGGCCAGGTCGAATGTTGGGTTGGCGGACGAGTCGCCTGTGAGCGGTAAGCTTCGCGCTCAGCGTGACGATGCGGGCGGAGTCAGAGTGAGACCTGCAGGTATGGTCATTCTCGACGACGATGCTAACGTTCCAGCGAATGCTGATGACGGGTCAGACGAGAACGCAGCGCCAGGAAGCGTCATTTCAGCGACGCGCAGTGCGAGCGGCCGCTTCCGCTCCCACGGCTCCAATTCTCAGCATTCGCAGCAGCAGTCGACCAAGGCGCCGAGCGTCAGCAGCCCGATAGCCACTCCGACGAAGCGTGCGCCCGGTGATGTCCTTGGCAAAGGCGTCGTCTCAGGCAGTCCAGCTCGAAAACCGTCTTTCCGCAACAGCGTGCTGGGCTTCCTCACCGGCAAGCCTACCTCTACGTCATTGGAGACACCCGTCTCATCCGCCACTCTTGGCCCCACCCTCCTCACCCAGCGACGCAACAGCGCACAGTCCGATGCGGCGCAGAGCACCGCCAGCATCGCCACCACCGGCACCGTTGCCTCGTACCGCCATCTCGTCGAGACCGGCAACCTCCCACTGACCACGACCACAGCGATCTCCATGACGCACACCCCACCCGGCACACCACCACTCCGCTCTGGCGTGCTGTACTACTTCAACGTCCACGACGCCCATCCGCGGTGGTTGCGGGTCAAAGCTGTGCTGCTGCCCTCGGCTGTTGCGATGAGCTGGATCCCCGTTGGCGGGGGGCGGGAGAACGTAGTGCTGGATCTGAGGGCGTGTAGGGAGGTGCACAGCGTGCCGAGTCCGGATCATCCGAGTAGTGCGGAGGATGTCGGAGCGACCGCTGCGAGAAGCCAGGGGTTGGATGGGATCACGCCGTTTCAGATGATCTTTGATGATGGCGTGGAGAGGTTGGCTGCCGACTCGGCGAGGGAGAGAGTGGTGTGGGTTGCGGCGGTGTGGGATGTCGTAGGTGCAGGGGCGGGGAGGGTGGAGAGTGATGGAGGATCGATCATGGTGGATGCTGGGCATGATCAGGTAAGCGCGAGGTCGGGAAGCAACGAGGAGGCGATTGAGAGGATCGGATCGGTGTGGAAGAGCGAGCTGTCGTCTGCTATGACGGACAACGTCCAGCCGAGCTTCGGAGTGGCAATGACGATCGCAGCTGCAAACGTCGCGCCACCGGTCCCGCCAAAGGAGGTCTCTGCAGCACCTGCAGCAGCATCGAGGGTCGCTCGAGCGCTGCCGACGCCTACCCTTGCCGTCGCATCGTCAACTGCAGCCGCGGCATCATCGACACCACCTGCCACGTCAACAAGTAGTCCCCGACCGAAAGCGCGCACCTGGCAGCGCCCTCCACTCGACCCACTCACCGACCCCATCCACGATCCCACCTCCAAACAGACCATCGTCCACCCAACCACAGCCGCAAAATCGACTCCAGCCTCGCACGCATCCAGCTCGGCCGTCTCCTCCTCGCACACGGCCAAAACCACCACCTCCTCCATCCCGTCCTCTCCCGAGCTAGCCGGCTACGCATCCGCGCGCTCCACGCCCACCCTTGACGAGTTTGGCCCACGCAGTCCTGTCACCGAAGCGCACTTCCACTGGTCCTCTCTCGACAAGGAGTCGGATCTTCACCCGAGCGATTCGGCCAGTCAGCGACCGGCGCGGTCCGAACTCGGCAGCATCTCTTCGGACGAACGCACACCTGCGCAGATGCTCCGTGACGCCGTGATGGGCGATCGACTGGGTACCGTGGTGGAAGAGACGCTTTCGCAGACGCAGTACACACAACTGAACGTGCGCACGAGGAGCGAGGTGAGCGACGCTAGCATCAGCTCGAGGGAGGTCAACGCGCTACTCTCGCTACTGGAAGACCAACAGCGTGCGAGAGCGTCCAAGGAGCGAGAGCTGGAAGAGCAGATCAAGGGTTTTCAAGAGGCGGTCGAGAGTTTGCAGAGGAAGAGCTCGATTCCGAGGAGTCTGGTGGCGGGCGATGGCGGGTCCGAGCTGGCCAAGATGCAGGAGAGGTTGGGGCGCGTGTTGGATTTGGTCTCTGCGCCGCCGGCGCATGGGAGGGTGAGGAGCGAGGCGAGTGTTTCGCTTGGCGACGAGACGGATGTTGAGGATGTGCTGGCTAGGGTGCTGCGCCGGATGCAGGTGGAGGATGGGGTGGGGTCGGATATGGTACGCGGCGTCTCTGCCCCTGGGCAATCCTCGACTGCGATGAACGCGGGCGACACACGTCGACGATTGTCAGCATCGCTTCCGGGCACGAGCGACCTCGACGCCACCTCGGCACTCAGTCGTCTCCCACCTCGCAGCTGGACCTCTTCGAAAGGCGTCCCGTCACCACCGCCCAACTCGGAACGCGACGCACGATCCCTTCTCGACCGCCCAGCCTCCCGCGCAACGCTCGACAGCCGCGCACCCGCTCAAAACTTCCGCATGCTCGCCGACCCCACGTCTGCTGCGGCACCACGACCGCTCATGGTCGAGCCCAGCTACGGGACGTTGGATATGGAAGCTGAGATTCGGCGTCGGCGTGCGGCCGCCAGTGGTGCAGAGGGGGGATGGTACACGCCCAAAGTTGAGGGGCTCGAGTCAACCTGCTCGGTCACTGCGGAGGATATGAATGTCAACCTGGACAAGCCCGTCCCGCCGACACCGAGCGTACGCTTCGCACCCTCGGACATCGCCCCTGCGCCCACTGTCCCCGGCACCTCCGGGGCCGGACTGGTAGCAATGCCTGCAGTGGATCAAACTACCAACACCGAGCTAGCAACGATCCTTCAAGCGCTGCACCAGACCGAACAGGCGCGTCTAACCCAGGCCCAGCAACAAACCGAGATCTCGCGCTACCTCAACGAGCTCAATGCGTGGCTGGAGCGCGATGTGGTCGATCGCAGTCACGAGTGGAAAACTCTAGCGAGCGGGGTCACGCAATTGGCCGACGAGCTGCGGGCGCTCAAGGAAGGTCGAACTTTGCCTGCTGCCACTACACCTGTCACACCGATCGAACTGGGTGATGCACCCGCCGAGGCTGGCGACGAGGGGAAGAAGGGGAAAAAGGAAAAGGAGCTGGTGACGCTAGGAAACAAGGCGGTGCGACGTAAGCCCGCGGGTACGCGATACTTCAACTCTTCCGAGCGGGAGACAAAGGAGAACGATTGGTATCGACCTGCCTCCCCTGTCGAGAGGGAACCAACGCTCAAGTCTCGTGCGGCCAAAGTGGCCGCTGCGGCAGGAGGGGCGTTGATGATCCGTCACGCGCTGAGCGAGTGGGACAAGTTCAAGTCCACACGACGCGAAGCGGGGTTGGCGGAGAGTCCGTTGCCGGAAGAGGCGACGGGTGATACGGGCAATGACTCCCAGCTGCCGTTGCCGGAGCCCGTGTTGGCGCAGCTGAAGGATGCCGCGGATAAGGAGGATAAGGAGAAGGTGGGGGAGGTGGTCAAGGAGGCTGCTGAGAAGGGGTATGGTACGCAGGCGATCATTGAGCTGACCAAGCATGTGGAGAGCAAGGATGCTGCGGACGAGAAAGATGACGAGGAGTTACCCACCGAGGCGAAAGAGGAGGAGGACGATGGGGTGACAAAGATGGCCACTCCCGTCCCCGCGCGCGTTGCTGCCAAGGAGAAAGCCAAGCCGGACGCTGCCGATGCCAAAGAAGGGGATGCTGTCGAAAGCAAAGATGCTGCCGACGTTGGTCCTAGCACAGCCGCGCTCGCCACCGCAGTAGAAGAGATCCTCAAGCACCTGCTCGTCACCAAAGAGGAAGCATCCAAAAAGGCCTCTTCACCCGCCACGCTCGATGCCAAGGACAAAACGGAACTCGTCGACCTACTCTACACCCGGCTCGCGGCGGACAAAGCAGCGGAGGAAGCGAAAGCCAAAGACCTAGACCCCAAAACCGCCATCGAATCCCTCGTAGTGGCCATCAACGCTCAAAAGGAAAACGAGCTTCGCGCCGCCGCCGCTGCCGACGCGGCCATGCGTCAACTCACCTCGGACCTCCTGAAAACCGCCTCGGAACAGAACAGCAAGCTCGTCGAAGCGGTCGCAGCGGCATCGCGCGATATGCTCCGTCAAAATGTCCAACAGCACGCTGACGAGTTCAAGCGGTTGCTGCACGCCGAGGTGACGGGTATGTTTGAGGATGTCGGACGGATCCGCGAGGCGAAGCGACATTTGGAGTTTGAAATCGCCGATTTGTGGGGGATCAAGAATCGACATTTGCAAGGGGCGGGTGGGGGGTTGGGTGGATATGGCACACCGGGTGGGATCATGGCGCCGACGGGACCGATGAGCATGCCCGTTCCGATGCATCATCCGCCGGCAAAGATCACGGCTATGCCGGCTGGACCACCGGTGACACGATCCGCGCCAGCACCAGCGGGACCACCGAAACAAGCACCAACGGCCCCGCCGAGAGCCGCACCCACCCCCGCACCTAGGCAACCAGCAGCCGCACCGCCAGCAGCTCCAGCACAAGCCCAAAAACCTGCCCCACCCCCGGTCACGGTGACAAAGAACTTGCCCAGGCGAAAGGACGTCGTCAATCCGTTTGCGATTAATTTTGGCCCTCGAGCACCCGCCAGCAGGTAGACGAGGTCCCCACTCCGGCCCAAGTTGTCAGCGAATAGAACCATACATTCAAGGAAGCATCTGCCGGGAGTGCGTCGTGAGAAGGCGATTGTGAACTTCAGAGGCATTGAGAAGGTCAAGCTCGATGCGGGCGGAGCGTCAACTTGGCGATGGTCAGGGCTCAGATCCACGCCACTTTTCTCAGGCTCGCGCTCGAGCCCACGGATCAACGACGCTCAAGGAAGACCACCCACATCACGCGTCATCGGAGAGTGGAATAGCAGCGTAGCATGGTCTGTGTGATCAGACTGACGTCTGCGGTGTGATTAGAGCGGGCCGATATGTGTGGTATACAGGAGAATACAGAAAGTAGGTAGACGGCGGAACTCAGTGGGAACGGCACTGTTTGGAGTGAGATCGAGATATTACGGCTCAGGACTGACACTGTCGTCCCTGAAGGCGGCTTTGACCTGCGCCGCGGTGGTTCCACCCGGGCTTCCGTTTGCACCCGTCGGCAGCAAGATCCTACGTCGCGCATTGATAAACCAGTTGGACACCTGCGAGAGCGTGAGACCGGTCATGCTGCACAGCGAGCGCTTCTCATCTTCCGTGGGGTAGGGATGGCTCGCGTGTTCGAGCAGCCACGTTTTCAGCAGATCGGTGACGGGTTTGGGCAGCTTCCCACGGCGACGCGGGGGAGGCGCGATGCCTGCTGAGGGTCCAGGAGGAACGTGAGCGGCGGGGACTGGCATGACCCCGGCAGGTCGAGCCATGCGAGGCATGCCAGCATGCGGATGCATGTCACGAGGATCGTGAGGCATGTAGTCGCCGTGACCGTACGGCCCAGGATAGGGCATACGAGGATCGTGAGGTGGTCTCGCATACGGCGCCACGGGTCCGGGTCCAGCCATTCCATTCGTCGGCTTCCCGTGAGCACCTGGCGGAGGATAGGCACCTGCATGTGGAGATCCGTACGGGTCGTAGTACGGGTCAGGATAGCGTGGCTTGCCTACTGGCGCACCAGCCGAACCAGCAGGACCGTGGTAGTACTCGTCCATCTCTGGGTCCTGGATGCGTTCGCGGGCAAAGAAGAGGCGTCGATCCGGATAGAAAGGCTCGGAGTAGGCGTGCGGCTCAGGAGATGGGCTGAGCCTGTCAGGATGAGGCACAGCTTCCGAGGGTGGCGTGTAGCGAGATCCGCGAGAAGTAGCTGCTGGTGCCGGCGCTGCTGATGGATATCGGGAAGCTGGGTTGCGAGACGACAGAGGCGGGAGCACCGGACGTGAATCGGCAGCGTACGGCGGAGGCGACGGTCGTCTCAAGTAAGAAGAGTGAGGAGCAGCTCGAGCGTAGGGATCGTGCGGCGGTGGTGGAGCTTGCGAAGACGGATGTGCTGAGCGATGAGCGTACGAGGGCGAGCGAGACGAAGGTACCGGGCTGTATCGATCTGACCTGCGCGGATAAGGAGGGACGGTAGGGTCGTGGGGAGCAGCACGGTAGGCAGTTCGCGATGATGATGGCGACGTGGGATAGGCGTGACGCGGCGAATAGCGGGGATCGTCCATACGAGGATCCGGGTATCGGCCGGCGTAAGCTGGATCTCGCGAGTATGGGCTGGGGTACTTGCGCTCTGGAGTGTCGCCTCGACCTCTGCCGCCGCGGTAGTAGTCTTGTTCGGCGGTGGTGGCGGCGTAGTTGGCGGAACGAGAGGCGTACTCTGCCGGGCCGAGTGCCCATGGATCTCTGCCTCTGTCGATGCGTTCTGGCATGGCACGTCGAGAGCCCATCTCGGAAGGAATGCTGAGCTTGCGTTTGAGACCAGAAGAGCCAGTTGGTGGTGAGAGCTCGCGAGGATCACGGTACGGAGCCTCCGGATATGCTGCCCTTGGGCTGCTGCCGTATTCGCGAGCATACGTAGGTGGGGCGGCAGGAGCGCCAGTCGATGCGGCAGGTAGGGGAGGACCGGGTCGACGAGCAGCCAAACGTGGGCTTCCGCGATCTGAGTGCAAGTCATACTCTGCGGAGTGATTGGAGATCCTACCAGCGGGAGAGGTCGGCCGGCGCAGCGAGGGTGGCACCGGTGCTGATGCTGGTGGTGAGGAAGCACGGCGAGCGGTGAGATCCGCTTTCTCGGCTGGGTTCATCGTGGCGGTTTGACGCGGCGTCCAAGCAGGATGGGCGGAGAGGTGCTCTCCTTTGGGCAAGTCGAGCGTCTTGATGGACGGAAGAGGGTCGACGTCGTACGAGATGGGCAAGGTGGCCGAGGTGGTGATCGACCGTTTGCCCAAGCTCGAAGCGGAGACACGATCAAACGAGTGTTCGGATGAGCGGGTGGAGGCAGCGGTGGGTGGAGAGCTGTGACGGGCTTCGGAAGACGAAGCGAGGCCGGAACGCTCGCTGGAGGAGCGAATGCGAGGCGAAGAGTCGACCAAGCTAGAGTTGCTTCTCGAATCAGGAGTGTTGTTGGCGCCTGAAAGATGGGGGGAAGGTGGCTGAAGACCGCGAACGCTACTGATGGGCCTAGAGGAGAAAGAGCTGACCATGTTGTGACCGGCGATGCCGGGGCGACGAAGGGGAGCAGAATATGCCAAAAGACGATGCTGTCGGTGGAGCACGTCGCCGCAGGAGGAAGCCGACTAGTTGATAAGATGGATCGGCTGTGTGGTCAGACAAATGCTGGGTCTGGAACGAGAGTGGGTCCAGTCGAAGGCGAAGACGGTAGGTGAATCGAGCCACCGACAGAAGGGAGAAGGTACGAAGGAAGGAGCACCAGTCTTGATGCCAATGCCACTTCTACGGTAAAAGCGGTGGCAGCGATTGGAGCCCAAGCGAGCGATGCGGGTAGGGTGGCGGTGCAGAGGAAGGCTGACACTTGTAGGCGACTGTATCCGTTGATGCTACGTTATGCCGGACAGGGTCAGAATCAAGGAAAGATGACGAGGTGCGGATGGATGGTGATGAAGGTCGACCAAGATGCAAGTCTAGTCTGGTGGGAGGGTCGAGGTAGAGAACGAGGCGACTTGAAACCAAGGAAGAGAGGGCGAGGGAGTGTTTGCGGATGGATGGGACCGAATTAGCGGTGAGCCAAGGAGGGAAGCAGCGGAGAATGAAAGTGAGATGGTGATGATGGACAGAGACAAGGAGAGGAACATAAAAGAAGGCGGCGGCCGGGATGACAGGCAGCCAAGCCAAGCGAAGCCAACTAAGAGCTGAGCAACCGAGCTGAGCTGAGTTTCGACACCTGGGCTCCGGATCAGTGTCAAATGAGGCGAAAAAAGAGGATGACGAGACAGGCCTCGGCGGAGTCTGAGAGCAGACAGCAGACAGCAGCGGGGCAAAAAAAACATTAATCAAGAAAAAAATCAAAAAACGAGGCACAAGTGGGAAGAGATACAGACGGAGATGAGAGGCGGAAAAGACAGGAAAGCAACGGTACCAGAGCGGTGTGTGGATGGCGTGGCCAAGCGAGCGGGAGTTTCGACTGGCGAAGCGGATGGCTGCCTGTCAAAAACACCTGCTAAGATGCCAAAGCCTGTCAAACGGGAGAAATAGAACCCACCCACGAGAGAGAGGAGCCCAAACTCAGCTCGCTTTGAAAATTAGTCGACTGTCAATCCTGTCGTTTGCAGGCTCTAGGCCTGTCACAGCGACAAAGCATAATTCCGAGTCTTTTTTTTTTAATGTAAAATGCCGCCAAAATTCAGCAAATCTGGATTTTTGCCCAGCCTGACGAATCAAGAGAGAAGCCAGTTGCATGTCCAGCCCAACCGTGACAGGAAACTCCAGGCCGCGCCCACGGCCACAACCCACCCTCGATGCCTTTGTCCCTCCTCGAACGAGGCAGTATCAGAGGCAAGGTCAGAGTCGACTCTTTGTGATGATACACAACTCAGTTGTTCACAAGAGTGGGAAGGACCTTTGACGTGTCGGACATCTCTAGTACCTGTAAACTCAAAGGAACAAGCCCACATCAAGAGACGCTCAGGTTGTCTGAAAGGAGTGTACGAGCCGAGTATAATCGACCGAGCGACGAGCCTTGATTGTGGAAAGCTTTGTTTGACAGGTCATGATCCGGCTGGATGCGGTGCACCATGCGAATTCTGGATCAATTTCTTTTTGGTTTCAAGACAGGTGTCTATCATGGTTCCTGTCTGTCTGAGTCTGTTCTCCCGGCCCATCTCCAGCTGAAACAGATTAAATTTGTAAGGAACAAAAGGCATCAATCACAATCAGAAGAGAGGCCGCAAGCCTTGGTTTGATCCTGCGGTGCGAACGTTCGCTCTCCCCGAACTAAAGCTGAGGGCGAAACACACTCTCTCTCCGGGAGAGCCAGGTGCAATTGTGCTTGATGGCATTGAATCGTGTCCAATTGACTCGCTGTCGACCGGCAGCACCGACCATCTTACGAGGATGCTCGCAACAAAGGGAAGTGGGCCTGCATACCTCGGTCAAAGCTTAGACTCGCAATTGGTTCCAACTCCTGACGGCCGGAATCAACGGGCCGAGCTCATGCATTGAATTTCGATTGTCATGAGATTGTACACCGATGCGGATCTGGCCCGCCTGTCAGCCATTTCCAGAGCTGTGGACATGCTGTCAGCGGTGCGTTGATGCGCAGATCGGCGAGGCGTCGTTTGTTCTCTAGCCGACCTCCCCCTGTCAATCCAGATTCTCACGCCAACTCACCTTTCTTTCTCGCACAAAGCGTTGGCTGCCCATTTTGAAGCTCTTCGTGACGGTTTGCGTGTGAATGTCGAAGAAGCTTGTTCTGATGCTCGATGGTCGACCTCCGGTGCTACAACTATCGACCCAGCAGCGAAGTTCGAATGCGTTGCAAACCCTTCTGCAAAGTTAACAAAGTCGGTCTCGGCAGAAGGAGAGCCTGAGTTATCGTGACACACGCGCTCTCCAGGAACGTCAGCCTTTTCCTTGCTCCAGCAATTGTATGCGCCCACTGATCCAGTCTGGAACACGTCACGTCACGCTCTCGCTCACTCTACTGTAATTCAGGCACCACCAAGGTTTCGGCATTTTTGACAGGCGCGCCGTCGACAGCTCTCGAGTGCGCCACCATTTTGTTTTCTCTTTAATTTTCCCTATTATTGATTTGCCTTCCTGCCAAGCCGCCAAGGTCGGCTCGATCTTGGTGCGTTGCATCATAGCAAGCCCGAATCTGGGGTGCTAGCGGCTTGAAGATCCAAGGGATGCTAACATTTTGATAGTGCGGAGGGCGATAGGTCCATTAACCTATCTGTTCCCATCCAACGTCAATCCCGAGTGCGCGTCGGAGAGTCGCACGATGCACGCTCTTCGCGCCGCGGAACAGGCGGCATGCAGCGTGGTTTTGATGGTTCACATCTGAATGCCCTTGCAAAGCAGATGCAATGCAGGCTGTCGCCGTGCTCGCCTGAACAAGAAGGCACATGAAGGACAGCTCGGCGCTCTGTTGGCCGCGTTTCCCGAGGCAAAGCGTTCCACAATTTTCGACCTTTTTTGGAATTTGAGTTTTGGCAGCTGTGCTGCAGCTGCAGACCTATCATAAACAGCCCTGCGCATCTCGGCTGTCATGTGCCGCCTCGCCCTTTCGGGCTGTCGTGCGCGCCAAAATCCAAAAGTTTTCAGAGTCAGCCCTCGACAGCGCAGATCCTGTCGTCATCGTCCCGAAAAAGAGGCAAAAAAGGGTCGTTGCTGCCGCTTGAGTCTCGCTTGCCCCTCGCCTAGCTTGATGCAGTACAACCGACTCATCGTTGCACCTGCTCGAATTGAGAAGCAGGGTCACAGCCCACATCCTGTACCGGTCCAAAACGCCTTCCTGTTCGGTCAGTGGTTGTGGTTGGCGTCTGTCCCTGCATCGCAGACGCATCTGAGCGGGGCCACACCGCGGTTTCCTGCGCCCGTTGCGTGCCACTGACTGCCGTCGCTCGGCCCGCGAAGCCCGTTCCACCTTAGGTCTCGGGCTGGGATCGGCTGGCCTTCGACGTTTGAGCGACGTGCTCGCTTCGCTGCTTCGACTGGCGATGTCTCGCTTCCCGCCGTCTCGCCTCCTTACGCCACTCCTTTGTACCTGATCGCCTGTCTTCGAACACACGCGGTCCTAGCAGATACCATACTCGATTGTGCGGACAACGGAGCAAACTCAAGCGGCATCGCATCCGCGGAATAGACCACCTTGACAGCGATAATAGCAGTACGGCGTGCAGCAAGCATCTGCTTTCTTCTCGGCATGATCACAGCGATCTCAACAATGGCCATTCAGTAACTTTTTCAACCCTTTGCAGACCTGGGACAAACACCGGCAATGCACTTACTTCGCCTACCTCAGCGATGACTTTCAACGCTGACATGGCACTGCAGAGGCCTGAGCCGGCTTCATCGACACACAGACGGGAACAATGGCGGGTTTTTTGGTAGTTTGAACGCACTGGCTGCCCGAGCCATCCAACCCAGCCATTGTCTTCGGAAACAAGTACCCTCCTGAGCGGTCTCTGCACGCCCCTTTGTTCATCTTTGTGGGATCCAATGGCAGCAACGTAAGTTTTGTGACATCCCGGTGTCCATTCGGCCGAGACCCCTTGCAGTCCGACACCGACTTTGTTCTCGCTGCGAGTGCCGATCTCACATGCTTCCTCGCGCAACTGAGGGGCTGTGAACCGCTCCTTGGCGCGGGCGTGTCAGATTGATCCAGGGCTCAGCATGCCTTCTGGATTGGGGACATTCACATCTTGAGTTCGACTGAGAGGCGACCTGATGAAGCTCACAGCGCAAGAAACGAGCCGAACGTGTCCAGTTTCCACTCCGTGACGGCGAGAAGAGCGGGTGCTACCGTGCCTCAGCTATGACCAGCTGGGCATAACGTTGCGCGGCAGCAAATAGGTTTTTAGATGTCAGATCGCGTCCTGCTTTGAATCCCTTTTTTCTCGGCGCGACAGCGACACGCACCATGTGGAGAGAAAAAGGCGTAGCGCAGGGGCCTGCCTCATGCAGCCGAGCTCGTTTGTGACCCTATCTCGAGTCTCGCTTCCACCCTTTCTTGTCTTCAAGAAGCTGTCCAACCATCCGTCAATCACTTCGATTGTCTTGCGATCAGTTGCTCGTCGACAGCGAAGTATCGCACGAAGCTAGTGCATGGCAGCACGAAGGCCGAGGACTTGGAGCCAGCATGTCACGTCACAACCGGCCCTTCACTTGGGGCGGAGCGCAATCCGGCTCGTCCTTTGCGGATGCGACCTCGCCAGCATTCGAGTCCAGCGCATATGGCTGTAAGTACCGGTATGAAGCATCATAAGAGCGCACTGAATCCAGTCAAGGGAAAGTCTGCTGACACCTATCTTCACCTCTCTGACTGGATGGACGCTTCATCAGTCGAGCCGAGTGTACCCGACCTCTACCGACACGCTTGGGCTGCCGTATCCTCAAGCACTTCTCACGACTCGTTCGCCGATCCTTCAGAGGCAGAGATCCCGCTCGGACTGCTTCACAAGCTTCTCAGCTCAGCAGGAGGACTCGGCCCAGGCAGCGCCGAACAGATCGTCAATGCGGCCTGCAAAGGATCCAGATGCTCCCGCACCGATTTCTTCTGCGCACTCGGACTACTCCATCAGATGCAGCAAGGAGAAGCACTCGACGCACACATCGTCCAGCAGAGGCTGGCGCATGGGAGCCTGGGAGCACCGACACTCAATCTCTCCAATCTGGCCATCGACACCAACTCCAGTCACACCTTCCCACCCACAGCGCAGGCCGGCTTTGGCCGGTCAGAGGCACGGCCACCAGGTCCGATGCGCGAGATGTCAGATCCTTGGAACGCGAGCAGCACCAACCACTTCAACGGCACCGATTCAGCGCCCACATACAATCGCTACGATGGCTTACCCCAACACCACGATGCCACCGATTCCGCATTCCGAGGAGGCTTTGCCAGCAACGGTACATCTGGTCCTTCTGAGCGCATCAGAACGAACACAGGAGACACCAGACGATCAAATCAGCTGTATACCCACAACGAGGGATCCTCCGCTGACGCATTTGCTTCACCCGGGCGGGAGCATACAAGATCACGACAACATACGGCAAGGCACGAGCGCCCCTTTTCGTACATGTCCGAGACCGCCGAAATCAATGCAATGGACGGCGCCGAAGATCCAGCGGCAGATCTGCCCGAGGACGAAGTAACAGTTCGCCTGCGCAGTGAACTGGAAGGCTTCATCATCAAGCACAACGTCTACATCGTGACTTCAAGCGCGCGCAAATCGGAGGTAGTCAGGCGATACAGTGACTGGCTCTGGCTGTCTGAGTGCTTGGTCAAGCGGTATCCATTTCGATGCCTTCCAGTGCTGCCGCCAAAACGCATTGCCATGCCTCTCGCGGGTCGTCATCTCAGCGCGGACGATCTCTTCATTGAAAGGCGCAGACGCGCGTTGGAACGCTTTCTGCGGATGCTCACCCGCCATCCGATGTTGCGCGAAGATAAGCTCGTCGAGGTATTCTTCACGGAGACACGCCCGATCGCGGAATGGAAGAGCTCGGCGCCGGCGCTCTTCCTGGATGAAGAGGGCCTCATCAAGATCGTCGACGAGGCGGAACGCATGAGCATTCCCGAAGACCTGGAGCTGAAACTCACGCAGCAGCGCCAAGCCATTCCCGAATTGCTGGAGCGTTGGACGGCGATGGTGGCGCTGTTCGAGCGTATTGTCAAGCGGAACGATGCGGCTGCAGCCGACTACTCGCGACTCAACTTTTCGCTCCTCTCCGTCGTCGAGACGACTGCCAAGCGCTGGAGGCCGGGAAGCGACAACAGCAAAAGAACTGAGGAGACGCTCTCCACAACGGCGGCCATCTTCCAGGACCATTCGGACATGACTTCCTCGCGAGTCTCTGCGGTCTCACTGTCTACGCTCGAAGGCATGAAAGCACAGCGCGACCTCCTCTTGTCGTTCCGCGACTTGATCGGTCGCATCGATCGGCAGCTCGTCGACCCGATCGACACGCTCAAGAAGCGCATCGAGGCTGCTCAGAAGAAAATCACTACGCTTGCCAGCACGCAGAACAACAACGCTAGCACGCAGCAGGAGCAAGCGACGCTCTCAGCGCAGGTCAAGCAGGATACGCAGTCGATTCAGAAGTATCTCAATCGGAGGATTCACGCCAAGAAGACCATCTGGGAGGAACTCATCTGGTTCCATTGGCGGTTCAAGGCGGTCGAGGAGGATCTGCAGAAGTTTGTGCGCGACGAGACGTTCTTCCTGACGACACTGACCAGGTTGTGGGAGGCGACGGAGATGAAGATGAAGATGATTCGATGAACGAAGAACGGAGAATCGGCGGGCTGGAAGCAGGCAGGTTGCCACGAATCGTCACGCGGCCTGCTCCGTTCCAGGGCCATTTCGACCAATTCATCAGCATACTCTCCATGAGCGTTTGTGTGTTCAGCTAGGATCCTTGAGAACGCTCCGACACTAAGTCGTCAAGCTGGGTGCCGGCGTCCGAGGCACGGTGTGACCAAATTTCGCGTTCGGCTTGAAACGTGATTCACCTCGCCAAAGAGCGGTTTGCTGCGTGCGGTCTGCAGGAGCCTGCAGTCCCATTTTGAACTTTTTTTGTGGGTCAAGCTGAACCCTGACTCGCCTCCGCTGCCTTCACCCCACCATCCACTCCTAACACCACCCACCCACATCACAGCTTGGTTTCGACGGGCATCTTTCAGCATTCTTACACGCCTCAGGTCTCTCAGAGCTCCCCTGACCGGCATTACATCGTAGCGTCGCCCCTCTCTCAGCAGCATTTAGGCGCATCGCTGGTCTTCTGTCGATAAACACACAGTGCCATCAGCGCCACGACCATCACTGCTGCAGTAGCGACTAGCTCTCCACCATCACCAGCACCTGACCGGCGCTGGCGCTGGCTGCCACGTCATCAACACATCACAATCGTTCGCGGAGCCACGTCCGCCTCTGAGTCGCGATGAAGTGCACCAACTGCGGTTCGTCCGCCATCGACTTCGCCGACAACCAGGCAGTATGTTCGCAATGTGGTGTCGTGCTGGAAGAGTCGCAGATCGTGAGCGACATCACCTTCGGTGAGAACTCCGCTGGTGGTGCTGTTGTCCAAGGCAGCATGATCGCGGCCGATCAGGCACGCGCGCGCGTCTCTGGTCCTAGCGGCTTCCGTGGCGGCTACGTCAGCGAATCGCGCGAGATGACCATCTCCAACGCTCGAATTGGTATCAACAACATGGCGTCGGCACTACGCATCCCATCTCACGTCGCCGATCGCGCGCTCCGCTTCTTCACGCTGGCGCTCGACGGTGGTGCATCTGCCGCGACGGGCGACGAGCCCAAGAACTATGTCCTCGGTCGCAAGTCCGAATACACGGTCGCATCCTGTCTCTACGTCGCCTGTCGAATGGAGAAGACGACCCACATGCTCATCGACTTCGCCGACGCCATCCAGGTCAACGTGTTTGTTCTCGGCCGATCCTACCTCAAGCTGATCCGCATTCTCAACTTGCGTCTGCCGTTGATCGATCCATCCATCTACATTGCGCGCTTCGCAGCGTTGCTCGACTTTGGCGAAGAGACGCAGAAAGTCGCCTACGACGCATCGAGGCTCGTCTCGCGCTTCCAAAAGGACTGGATCACTGAAGGTCGCCGTCCCGCTGGCATCTGCGGCGCCTGCCTCATGCTCGCTGCACGCATGAACCACTTCCGACGCTCGGTCAGCGAGGTGATCCAGGTAGTCAAGATTGCTGATGTGACGCTCAAAGCGCGTTTGGAGGAGTTCAAGAAGACGCCTACTGGCCAGCTCTCGGTCCAAGACTTTCGAAACGTCTGGCTCGAGGAGGAGCACGCTCCACCTGCCTACCTTCGCGCTGTGGCGCCACCCACCACCAAGCGAAAGCGCAAGTCCAACAAGAACATCAAACTCGAGGGCATCGAGGTTGCGGACGACTCCGACGCGGCCGACGCGGACGCAGATGCTGAGGGTGAAGCCGACGCGGGGACCAGTGCGAGGACCGCAGTAGCTGAAGACGCAGACGCCATCGATCCGGCATTGGAGAAGGTGGTTGACGAGGCGACGGAGCAAGAGATCCAGCAATACCTGCAGCAGAGTCTGGCGCAGGAGCTCGACAAGGCCCTCGAGACGCAGGAACGCGAGCGAGAGGAACGCGCCAAGTCGGGTCAGGTGGCCTCGACGTCGAGCCGACCTGCAGCAGCAAGCGATGCTGGTCCTATCCCGGACGCCAACGGAGCCGGCCCTTCTGGAACTCGTGATCCGTCTCTCGACATCAGCAGAGCCGGTAAGCTGCTTCCCCTCGGCGGTCTTGGCATGGACGTCCAAAGCACTTTTGGCGACGACGCCGAAGCTGCACTCGACGGCGTTGCTGACGACGCTGACGCAACTTCAGCCGATAGGAGGCGCAGCGTAGGGCCGCACGCCGACGAGCTGGCCGACCTGGACGAGGACGAACTGGACCGATTCATCCTGTCACCGGAAGAGGTGCGGATCAAAGAACGCGTCTGGATGGAGTTCAACAAGGACTGGATGGAGCAGATGCTCAAGAAGCAGCTCAAGCTCGAACACGACCAAAAGATGGGTGTGCCCATCCGCGAGCCATACAAGCGCAAGAAGCCCAAGGCGCCACGCGACGCATCGACGGCGATGCACAACACATCGGCGGCCGAATCTGCCAAGATGATGCTCAAGCAGAAGCAGTTCAGCAAGAAGATCAACTACGATGCGTTGAACAACCTCTTCCCTGGTGCCAAGGTGGTTGGCGGAGGCAGCGGAAAGGGCGGGAGCGGCAAGACAAGGAGTGGCGCTAGGAAGGGCCGCAAGCGAGGCAGACAGCAGAGCAGCGACGAGTCGTCCTCGGAGGAGGAAGAGGAGGACGCGGCGGCCAACGGTAAGAGAGGCAAGAAGGGCCGCAAGGGCAAGAAGGCGAGCAAGAAGTCGCAAGGCACCGCTCAAGGCTACTTTGAATCGGACAACAACGACTCGCAGATGGAGGTTGTTGAGGAGGACGGCGAGATGTTGCCTCCTTCGCATCCACTGCGCAGGAAGGAGACGAGACTCAACAAGCGCGGCGCCGGACAGCTGTCGTCGGCTGCGGAAGAGTCGGCTACCGACCTGGGCGAGGAGATGAACGAGCCCGCCGACGGTGGAGCGATGCTCCTCAACGAGGCGACAATGCGCAGTCAGCTCGGCTACTTCAACGATGACACCGAGGACGATTGAGCCAAGTCTCGCACATCCACCTTGTTTGTTGTCAACACTCGTTTTGCAATGATACCCTGCCACGTTGCTCACTTGGCTGATGCTCAGAATCTGGAAGGAGGTGATGCCCGGCGTGTGCGCAACTCGCGCTGTGAGACGGTCGCGAAACGATCTGACCGAGCACGCGTGGCGCGGCAAAAGATGCCGAAATCCCTTTTGGAGTGCTTTCGTCTGGCAAGGCCCGAGCCGGCGGCTGTGCAAACACTCGGCCCGTGAGGCTTGCATGCTCACGCCTGCTGAAAGGGCCCGAGCTTCTTGTGGTAGGACCCTGGTTCAAGGTGCATGGAGCGGATGACGATACTGAAGGCTGACGGAGGACCAAGCGATCGTTGCAGGAGGTGTAACGCCCGCACAATGGCCAAAGGTGAGCGGCCCGCCTCCAGCCGTACAATGCCAAGCACCGAGGTCACAGCGGCCGACAGTCAAACGAACCAGAAGCAGAAACCTCATAATGCGCTGGCCACTTTCATCTCGAAGTCACGCACAGTCAGCGAATGAAACACGATCGCAATGTGGGTCTTTGTACTTGCCTTGTGACGGTGCTGAGCGTTGCTCAGAATGGCTAGGTCGGACGAGAAGGGGAGCTGTGTGAGGACCCTTTGAGCTGCAGTCTAGAACATCGGCAATCACAAATTGCGCAGACATTTTTAGAGACTCTGCCGGAGCCTGTCCTCCGTTCCGCCACTTGTGTCAGAGTAAGTTTTGGCGAGCGAACGTGCCGTTCAGGCGTTAAGGCGTTTGTGTGATGTACCACCCAAATGGCCGGGCTTAGCATTGTTCTTCCTTTCTCGCCGTGTCTCAGCTTCACTCATTGCCCTCCGTTCGAGTTGACGGCCGCTTCCGACCAGCACCAACCTTTCCTACATAGAATCACACCATCCTTCCTTCAATTGACGCCGGCGTCGACAGAGGAAGAGCAAGTCTTCGGCTGGTTCCGCACTCTCTTATCAGCACCCTGCTCCATCTTATCCATACCCTCACCACACATCGGACAATTCGCCGACCTTGTCCTCCCGCTGATTCACAACTCGCACTATACCCTCGGCACCGACACCATCGCCCTTACCCTATAGACCAGAAACTTTTCTCCTCGATTGACCGTCTCGGCCCTAGCAAGATGAAGCTCGCCGCCGCAGTCATCTTTGCCACCGCCCTCGTGGCCTCCAGCGCAGCGTCGAGCTCGACCCCATTCGCACCCAAATCCGATCCCGGCGTCTACCCAGGCGGCGACATCAATCCACCAGACGGCTGGAAGACGCTACCCACCATCGACGGCGCACGCATCGACAACACCACCCTCGTCGTTGGCTCCGGGTCAGGGACGCTCGTCCACTACATCGACGCGGAGTACGATGCGGGCAAGATCAAGCGGGCCGTGATCCAGATCCACGGCGAGAATCGAGATGCATGGAACCAGTGGATCTACTCGGATCTGGCGGCGAAGCGCGCTGCGACGGGCGGCAGCTTTGATCGCGACGAGGTAGTGGTGATGGCGCCCATGTTCTTCAACACTGGTGACGAGGGGGCGTACCCGTTCGATCCGAATTTGGATTCGGGCAACGCGGTAACGAGCACGCTCGACACGGCCACAGTCACAGCTGGCCGACGGTCCTTCACACACCACACACAAGGAGCACCGGTAGCCTCGCCAGTGCCGGCATTTGAGCGACGCAGTCGAGTCGAGCATCGCGGCGTACACCGCATCCCACTGCAGAAGTGGAGCACAACGCAGGCGATGATTTGGAAATCCATCGAGTGGGGCGATGGCAGTCCCGCCTATGAGCCTGCCGACTCCGCCGGAGCCGGCAGCTTCGAAGCCCTTGACAGCGCCGTGTCGTTCTTCCTCGACCGCACCCGCTTCCCGAACCTCCGCAAGGTCGTCATCGCCGGCTTTTCGCTCGGCGCGCAACTCACCAACCGTTACGCCACCTTCCGCGACGACACCTCGCAAGACGACCGGCTCATCTTCTGGATCTCCTCCCCAAACTCGTTCGTCTATCTCCAAGATACGCGACCGCTTCAGATCGGCACGTCGTGCACCGAGACCTACGGCAACTATAAGTACGGTCTTAACGGTACGCTGCCCAACTACTACACCAGGGCAACCTCTCGCGTGTCTACGAGCAGCCTGATCACTCGCTACCTCAGCAGAACGATCTTCTACCTCGTCGGGATGGACGATCTCAGTGCGGGCCTCAGCAGCTGCGCCCCCAACACCCAAGGCTACGGTCATCTGGACAAGATGTACTACTGGACACAGCAGGTTGTGCCTATGCTGCCGGGGAGTACGGGGGTGGAAGGCGAGCTGCCAGGGGACGGGCTGGTGAGGTACGTCGCAAAGACGGGGCATCAGGATTGGAAGATCATCACGTCCGATCCAGGAGTCGAGACGTTGTGGTTGAAAGGGTGGTATGAGAACGGGACGGATGCCGAGACGCCACAGAGTGGGGGGACGGTTGCCGCGGGTACGCCGTCCAAGTCGACGATTGGGAATATTCATAGTGCCAATACGGCGGCGAGTGGGACGAGGGCGACGGTGATGGCGTTGGTGTTGGCCGCTGTGGGCGCGACAATGGCGTTGCTGCTGTAGAGCGCCTTGGACACTTCGATACCCGCCGCTCAGCGTCCGCCTTCCCGCCCCAGTGTCTTGCCTCATTATTCCTTGATAGCATCATCCCTTCCCTGCATATGCATTCATAGATTCTTAGATTCAGGGCCGAACACTCCGCTCAGCGGCCCGTCATTTGTACTTTTAGCATGCTGCACCTTCATCTCTCTTATAGACTATCATTGGCAAAGATCTGCATTCACTCTCCCGAGCCCGACATCCAAGAGGCCCGTGCTAAGATCGTCCAGCCTGGCTTCAAGTGCTCTCTGTGCTCTTCTCGGGAGCCTCGCCGGTCTCTGCGGCTTCTGCGACGGCCTCGATGATCTCCTTCTCCTCCGACTCGAGCCCGTTGGTTGCGCCGCGCAGGTTGATGGTCGCATCGTCGTCCTCGCGCGAGATCTTCTGCGTTCGATCGTCCCCTCCGTCCTCGTCCTCCTCTTCGTCCTCTTCATCATCATCGTCGTCATCGTCGTCATCATCGTGGGAAGCGACACCCTTCTCCTTTGCAGCGAGGGTGGACCATTCAGGACCATCTGCACCCTCCTCGTGCTCGGGGCGACTCAACACGGCCGTGGCTCGCGGACTCGGAGCTGGTGGGGGCACCAAATCTCTCGCATCCACCTCGTCCTTCTTCGCCACCTGCGGCCCCAACTGGAATGGCGACTGACCGAGCGCGTGTGCCAAGGAAGATCGCATCGCCGCCGTACCGGATCGTTCGCGCTTCGTTGCGCCGTTGAACGGGAATGGTGTTCCGCGGTCAAACTCGCTCGTGCCGCTGCTGGTGATGGTTGGGGCAGGCTCGCTCCCGGGTCTCGGCGGTAGATTGTCCGTCGCCGTCAAATCGTACGTCTCGACCAACACCAGAAACCTTGCATACAAAGATGTCTCGGCTTCACAAGCATCAAATACCTCGCGATGATAACACCATGCATGAACAAAGATGCGACTCAACCGACGTGCGATGGATCCGAAATGCCGCAAACTCGTGTTGGGCACGTAGGTACGAGACGGGAAATGGCGGGCGGAGTTGAGGAGGGAGGTAGCACCATCGAGCGTGTGAACCATGTAGTCGATGGCACAGCACTGTTTTTCTTCGCCGTGCGAGGCGCAGAGGTACATCCAGTCACCCGCGTTCATCGCTGCGCAGGTGGTCGGTTTGAGGTGCTTTGAACAGTCGGTTTGCAGGGCGGTCAGCCAGGGGGTTGTTAGGTCGAGGACAAGACGTCGAAGTTGCTCGTAGACCCAGATATCCGTGTCGACGTTTTGGAAGGGGGAGTCGTCGATGGAGATGTCGGTCTCGGAGGGGAGGGATGTGATGGTTTCGACCGCGTGCGGGTCCCGACGGACCAGGAGGGAGAGGTATTCTTGCAGTTGGAAGGGGCTTGATCCCGCAGAAGGGGTGGAGGAGGAGGAAGGATCGAAAGTGGACTCGCTCGACGATGAGGCAAACTCGTTCAAACGCAGCTCCGAGAGCGAGAGGATCTCATCGAGCTTCTGCCCGCGACGGATGCGGTTGGGGTTTCGTTGAGGTGCCTTTGCCGGCTTGCCCAAAGGCGCGCTTGATGGAGCGCTGTCCGTGATGCTCATGGTGACGCGTCGAGCTATGTATGGCGGATGGGATGGTGGTGACGCGAAGGTGGGAAGGTGGAAGTCGACCAACACTTTTGGGAGCAAAGATGGAACTCGGAAATGGATCAGACCACGCGCGTGTTTCATGCGGAGCCACCCAAAGCGGCGGCGGGGGCGGCGCGCTCTTTTTTTGGAGGTCCGTCAACCTTGGCAGAGAGAGAGCTCTCACACTCAACGCGTCGAGAGGGGCGGTGTCGTGCGACATACGCCCCTGTCTCGTAGCGCCTTCAAGTCCGGTTCCTATACGCGATGCTGGCTTCGGGCTCGACCGACATTAGTGTAGACCTCTCGAAGTCAAAGAGCGAAACGAGCGAGCTCGGACAGATGTCGTTGCTGACGGGTGTTGAAGACGTTCAGCCCGCTGGGAAGAAAATCATCTGCACGGTGCGTTTTGGAAGGCTCTAACAAGCTTACGAAAAAAGGGACGAGAATCGGGAGATCCACTGCTGAATTGAGAGAATTTGCCAATCTCCGGGCCTGCTTAACGCCGGATTTCGTCTCAGGCCCGTGGCTGCTCCACGGAAATCCCAGCTGTCGAGGATCCGCAGGAGACCAGGGCAAGGGTTTGCGAGTGCTTAACCAACGTGACCGACAAACCTTAACGGGCCTACCGAGCGAGATTCGCTTTGAATGTTGCTCAATTGAGCAGGATGCATCGCAGCATGATTGCTTCTCACGGCGGATGAGCCGATCGTAGGGTCCTTTCCGACAGCGGCTGGCACCGGTTTGAGATGGCATGGCGGCGTGGGAATGTGAACTGCGTAAGCCACTTTTTCTCGGATCGACACCCGACTGATCACGCCGCCAGCTCCGACTGTGAATGGAGCGGGAACGTGGGTGAGCAGCTCGCTCTCTACACTCCGCTCGCTTGGCCGCTGTCAGAGGCTCATTGTGACTCGCCTCGCTTCGCTTGGCTTCGGCGCGCTGCCGATATCTGGCCCTCTGAGTCCAGGTTGGCTGTTGATACCGTTGCAGGCAAATTTAGCGTTGCCTGCCTGCCCTCTGACCAGTAAATCGGCCGTCGCTGGACCTCGAAGGCTGAGCAACCACGCTGAGCTTCCCGTCCCATCGCTTGACAGGTGACCTTTGAGTGGCTGAGCTTGAGCTCAGAGAGGGGGAAAGGACAAGCCGCGACGAGTGAGGGTGCCTCTTTGGCCTTCTCGTGGCTTCTTCCAGCGCTCAGCTGTGATTGATTTCACGCCTATCCTCAGCTGCAACCGTCAAAAATTACAGCTCAGTTCATATCCGTGCTGAGGTCCTGTGTCTCACCCTGCCTCCTTTCCCTCACCACCCACCACCCTTCCCTCTTCCACCTTGCGTTCTTTCACCTATTGTACTGTTGATCGTGCCGGCACTGCCATACACAATCTCTCATGGCTTCTAGTCCACTTTCCTTCTGCACGATCTAGGCGCAGTCACCTGACAGCTACAACACAGCGTCTATCAGCTACAATCCGCCTGCGTCCTGTCTCGCTTCTTTGAACCTTCACAGCAACCAGCACATACAACATTCGCTGCAGCGACGTCTTTGTCTTGCTTCCGTCGACTTCCAAGCATAAGCAATTCCGACTCCTTTCGACCAACTGAGGATCGTATCCAAATCTCGATATCTCTCCTTCCAATAATCGCTCGACATGAACGGCTACGACCCATACACCGCCAACAACGGCACCATGCAGCCCTCTCAACACCAGGGCGAGGGCGCACGTCCACCGCCTAAGCGTCGCAACCGCAAAGCCGTCTCATGTGTATCTTGCAGAGAGAAGAAGATCAAGTGTGATCGCGTTGTACCCTGCAATCAATGCATCAAGCGCGGCGAGCAGGACCAGTGTCGCATTGAACAAAAGCCAAAGATTGTCCATGATCACTCGCACCAACACGCTCCTACCCATCCGCCTAGCTACATCGACCCTCTCTCGCCTGGCTCAGCGGCCTACAGTCAATTCAGTGCTGCCATCTCCACTGCCAGGAGCCAGGTCAACGCGGCCCAATCCAGCAGCAGCCCACCTCCTGCCGAAGTAGAAGCCATCAAAGCACGTCTCGCACAGGTCGAGGCTTTGCTCGCAGGCCAGATCCCTCTCTCCAGCGCCAATGCACTAGCACCCTCCTCGCCTATGGGCTCTTCCAACTGGAATGCTTATAGATCCTCTTCCAGCGGCTCAGGGGCACGAGCAGTGGAGTCCAACGTCTCGCGGGGTAGCTCTCAAAGCCCCAGCAGTTTCACATCCGCGCATCGGTCTGCCTCGGGCTCCACGCACCATTCTTCCGTATCGCCGCACGACGGGCCATACGATACGGACGAGAGCGAATCAGAGGAGGACACCGCGCCGTCCAGTCCACGTGCCCCTATCAGCCGTCTCCGGACCGACGACATGCCCGTTTCTAGGAAAGAGATGGACAGCGACACCGAAGATGCTGCAACGGTCCTGGAACGTCTCGCGATGGATGGCTCATCCAATTCCAGGTGGGCCAAAGCTACCAACGGCTGTCCCACCCAGAACGCAGCTTCGCGTGGCGCCGCAGAAGGCAAGAGCGAACATTGCGAGCGGATGCAACAGGAGGTGGACTCGCGCGAGGCCACAGGTGAGAAGTTCGAACTGTGCTTGCAAAGAGACAAGGAGTTCGATCTCATGTCCATCGATAAGCACGCTGTCGGTGGCGTTGTATCCGTACCAAGCGAAGGTCAACAGGGTCCCACAGAGATGCTTCTGCCCCCGGTCTCGCGTGCGCCTGACCTCGATGCTGGGGCCAACGGTCAGCCTCCTTGCGCTTGCCGAGATCCAGACGCCGACGGCACGACAAGCAACGGGCACGATCACACGCAGGACTACACCTGCTTGAAACAGAACGAGCCGGTCTCCAAGGAGCCTTCACCCATCACTGTACCGTGCAAGCTCGCTTGCGAGAACAAGGGTCTGCTGCGTCTCAAGAGCGGCCCAGAGACGCTCTTTGGATGGGGCATGGGCTGGGCTTGGTCCGCTGCCGAGGTCTTGCTTCAGCAGGATAAGCGGAAGGCGAAGGAAGAAGGCAGAACGTTCGTGGTCAGCACTCGAACCGAACGTGAAGCTGTGCTGCGTGCCATCTGCGAGAGTCTTCCGTCCAAGCAGATCGCCTATCAGCTCATCGAAGTCTACGAGTCTCGCGCTCGTTATCTCTGTGGGCACGTCGTCCACGTTCCGTGCCTCAAACGAGAGGTCGAGGCTTTCTATGCGCTCGAAACAGCGGAGAAGCGCGCTCGCGTCGTCAACCACATCGATTGCTCATGGCTCAGTCTGTTCCTCATGGTTCTGGCCCTCGGCGTCCGCTTCTATCCTTGCCAGCCTAAGGCCGGTTGGCTGCCGGCCAACCACTTGTTCGACGGAAAGACCATCCACGCTTGGCACTCGGCTGCCAAGACGTGTCTTGTGCTCGCCAACTACCTCAACTCGAACAGCATGAGCGTTCTGCAGTCCATCTCGCTCCTCTATCTCTTCCACTCGGTCTCTGCTGCGAGCTGCGGTGGTGAGGCCGACTCCGGCACCACCCACACTGCCCTCTTGCGCACTGCTATCACCAACGCACAGGACATGGGTCTGCACCGACTCGGCGATCTCGACAAGCAGCCTCGAGCCAACGAACCCTCTGCCAAGGTGATTCGACGACAGATCGGGATGCGGATCTGGTGGCATCTCGTCTTCCTCGACTGGAGCGCAGCTGGCACTGGTTGCGCCAAGGACTACTTCATTCGCAGCGACTCTTTCAACACACCGCTTCCTGGCAACTACAACGACGACGATCTCATGCGGATGCCTCTTCCCGCACCGCGACCACGCGAGGAGTTCACCGAGATGTCATACGTCCTCTCCAACCTCGAGTTCGGCATGGCAGTCAAGCAGGACGTCGATGTTCGTCAGCGACGAGAGCTGCAAGCCGCCACGAGCGGTGGGGACCGTCGTCTGACGTGCGTCGAGGCGCAGAGACTCGATGCCTTATACCGCGGAGTGCTCGAGAACACGCCCAGCTTCTTCAAGGTTGGGTCCGAGATCGGGCAGGTGACGTGTATCGAGGTGCAGCGCTGGCTGCTTCAGCAGGCCGTGTTCAGCAAGCTGCTTCGCATCCACCGCCCCAATCTTTCGAGCCGCAAAGAGTCTCGCACCAATTGTGTCCTCCTTGCGCGCAGCATTCTCGACATGCAGAAAAAGATCCGATCGAGGTGCACTGTCATTGACCGTCTCTGGCAGAACTTGATGCAGAGCTTCTCTGCCGCCATTGTGCTTGCACTGCACTTGCTGCACACTCGACCCTCTGCTGATCACCGAGTCTCGGTGCGTTCCGAGATCACCGAGGCCATCCGGGCCCTCAAGCAGGTCGACGGCACCGACTGCGCGGCCAAGAAGTGTATCCGCGTCATCGAGGCGCTCCTCGACGAGGAGGAAGAGCGATGGCAGGCTGGCAATGCGGCACTCGCACGAAACGACAACGTTCCAATGGAAGCCGTCAAGCTAAAGCGGAAGCGTCAGATGGACGTGGACGGTGCGGAAGATGAGGTTGCCGCGTCTGGAGGCAAGCGGAAGAACCTGCTCAGCCTTGCTCAGAGGGTCGCGCAGGCCACGCGCGAGGATGCATCCGCTCGCCAGAACCGATCCGCGCCGGCTGACGACCCGTCCAAGCGTCAAGCGACCTTGGCTGCAGTAAGATCAGCCTCTGGCACCGAGAACAGCGGAGCTCTCGAGGTCAACGGTGTGGCCGCGCTCAAGGACGATGCATCGCTGTACCGCATGAACAACACGACTCTGCCGACGTCAGGGCCAAGCCCTCTCAACATGACGGCGGCCAGCAGCAACCAAGATGACGTGACGTTCCCGCAGATGTTGCAGACCATGCCTTTCCCGAGCAACCTGTTCAACTTTAACGACGTGAATGCATCTCAGCGCATGGTCCCGCCCAACGGCGTCGACTTGATGCTCAACAACCCCATCACTCCTCCTGATGGCCAATCCTTCGACCTGGCGGCATTCCTGGAGCAGGTCAGCAACTCGCCTGGCAGCTCCACCGACTTCAGCCTGTCGTCGGGCCACGAGGATCGTTCCGCTTCGACGTCATCAGATGTCTCGGGCATGGACGACCGAGGGTCTGCTTCGGCCCTCAGCAACGGCGACGGGACAGACAACACGAGCGTTTCGAGCTTCGGCGAGCCTCTGTTGACCAAGGAAGCCATCCGCCGACAGCAGCAGCACTTGCAGGCCAACACGAACAGCAACTTGCTTGGCTCGAACATGGCCCCTGCAGGTCAGACTGGCGGCTTCGGACTCGGTCCGCAGGCCATTTCACCCGTCAGCGCCACCGCTCGTCCGGACCCGTCCACCGACATGGACTCGTTCTGGAACTGGATTATCACGCAAGGCGCCAACGGCATCACTGCTCCGACGACGATGCCGACGACGCAGGCTGCACCTGTGCTCATGCAGCAGCCCGCTCTTGCAGCGCCACCGTCGCAGAAGCAGCCAGTGCAGTATGGTATGCCATCCACATTGCCGCCCACTCCGCAGTCGGCGCACAGCGGCCTCACGCCCTACCTCGCCCCCAACACCGGCTACTTCAACAGCAACGAAGGCTACCCTACACCCAGCTCGCTTGCGTCGGGAACGAAGTTCGGCACGCCCGCGTCGCAACCAGCCGTCAGCGCCACACCCGAAGCGCAGAGAGCAGCACCTACCGCCGGCGTCGTCGGCACGCCGAGCGCAGGCTTCAGCTTGGACTCGTTCCTTGGCGCTCCGCTGTACGATTTCAGCGACTACGCAAATGCTTGGACGGCGAGCAACCCGGGCAGCGTGCCTATGGGCGCCGGACCGGGACCTGTGTCCGACCCTTGAGCCGAGGCTTTGCATCAGATTTGTACTTCTATGATCTGCTTATGTTTTTGTTCGCAATTGTACTTGTCATGGTTCCCGCCGTTTGGGTCGTGGTGATGCGGCATGTGACGAGTTGCGATGAAGTTCGTCGGAAGAGAGTGGGAGACTTTGATGAAGGACGGTGAAGTATGGTGAAGCTCGGTGAAGGAGGGTGAGCGATGGTAGAGGATGGTGAAGCACGGTGAAGCACGGTGAGCGACGGTGAGCAAGGGTGAGCAACGGTGAAGGCACCGCGATCAGCCTCTTCAGCACAACATTCTCACACGTCGGTTCTATCTCTCTCTTCCTCTCTCTGGGTCTCGCACACGCACACACACACACTCGACTGCCCCTCACCTGAGTTAGCAAGCACCGTGCAGGCACGTTCGTCATGCACACACTCATCAGGATGGAAAGAACTTTTACATTCGGCTCGCACTCGCTTACAACCCTACCACTCGGCAACCCACCCCTGCCTCGGCGGGACCCTAAACACCTTGACCACACCACTCTTCAGATCGTCCATCCTCAAGCTCACCTCTTCCGCAGCGCCCTTCTTCTGGGCTGGGCTCTGAATGACGCACCTGAGCTTGTTCTTCTTGCTCTCCACCTCGACGACAACGCCTACCGTGGGGTCGGTGGTGCCGAGGGTGGTGTGGTAGGGCGCCAGACCTTTTTTGCCCCGAAAATCGGCGTGGGAGCACCAGACTAGGTCGCCGGGGCGTACTTCGTCGGTGGGGGGATCCATGAGTGTTGCGCCCACCTGGGTGAGGACGGGGGTGCCGAGGGAGGTACCGACTGGTGGGAGGGCGGGGAGTTGGGACAGAACGTGGCCGACAAACGCGCGTGGGGAACCATCGCCAATCGGCGAATTAGTTTGCTTCGCAACGTCAGAGGCCAGACGCGCAACGGACACGCCAAGCGAGGCAGCCCACTGCTTGAGTTGCGCAGCGCTCGGCTTGGGCGGTGGAAAATTGTGTCTCTGCGTCAGACTCGTCTGCGACTCCTCCGCGTCGTCATCTTGGAACGACAAGCTGATGGTGGTGGTCGAATAGTCCTCGAAGAGCATGTAGATGTCTGCACGATGCACACCGTCGGCGCTCGACGTGTCGGCGTAGAGGATCGCATCGGGTCGACCGGCGACGGTGGGTGGGAGACGGAGCGGGTTCATCCCGTGCCGCCACCACCGACTGGTGGGCATCAGGTCGAGGTCGCGTGATGAGTGGCGGGCGCCTATGTTGGCGTTGGGTGTGGACGGCGTAGGTGGCAGAGCGGCTTCTGTCCTAGGCGGCTGCTCGGTCGCGGGTGTGGTTGTCGTCGATGGTACGGGGGGCAGATCTGGCTGGTCGGAGCCGCCCATCGAGGCGTACGACGCGGAGGAGCCTTGGCGCCGAGGAGGAGGAACACTTTGGCCAGGCAGCGGCGGCGCTCGTGATGCCGGACGAGGAGGCGGGCTCGATGGAAGAGGAGGTGGACTGACAGGCAGAGGTGGCGGACTTGTGGTCAACTCACGCTCCTCGGCCACCGACGACTTGCGAGAGTGTGCACTGATGCCTTGCGGAATGGGTGGCTTGGTGGACCCGCGACGGGCTAGGTTGCTACCGGCTGGGCTGGCAGAGCGGATGGCCTCGTCCAGGTTCGCCATCGGGACGGTGCTCGAGGGTCGGCCAGGTGGGAGCATTGGCGCTGCCGTCGAGTCGCCTGCGGGAGGAAGGGCGCCAGCAGGAGGTGGCGACATAGGCTTCGGCGGCGGGCTCGTGGGCACAGGTGGCGGACTGGCAAGTCGTGCCGGTGCGTCGACGCTGGCAGGACCTGGCGATCTAGCCCGCTCCAGCGCATCGCTTTCGGCGTGAGAAGCGTTCATGCCAGGCACAGCTGTGAGACCAGGGATCGCCATGCCACCTCTGGGTGGCCCCCGGATCGGCGACACAGGCGTGTCCTCCTCCTCTGGCTCCGCAGTGCCATCCGCGCCAGTGCTCTCGTCTTCGACCTCCTCAGCGGCCTGCACAGGCGCTCTTCGGGCAGGCATGGGAGCACCCATGATCGGAGGCGGGGCCATGCCAGGGAAGGCACCGATCCTTTGGCCGCCGAGAGCTGCCATGCGGCGAGCGAGATTGGCACGTCGTTGCGACTCTTGCTCCTCTTCTGTGAGCTCTTGCTCTTCCGGCTGTTCTTGGGGAATCGCTTCTGATGGCGCAGTCTCGTCATCGACGGCAGACGAAGGGGCGTCAGCAGCAGCGAGAAGTTCTTCGTCCTCCGGGTCCTCGGTCGCGACGGCCATGCGAGGTCTAGGAGCTGCCAGCACGGGACCTGTCTGTTCCTCGGCTTCGTGAGCAGCCGTGAACGGCTCGTCGGACTCCTCGGTCTCCTCGGCAGTAGTCTCAACCGGAACAGGGAGACTAGACGTAGGCACAGGTGGGATGGCGCTTCCACGTCGCGACAAAGAAGCAGCCGGAACGTAGTCTTCGTCGGCGGTCGTGCCGGGAGTAGAGGGAAGAGTCGTCTTGGGAATGGGCGGACGAGTGCTCGGCGGACGACTGGGCGGCTTCGGCGATGCAACTTCCTCACGAGGCACGCTCTCAGCTGCCTGGGACGCTTCCGTGTCGCGTGCCGTGGTAGAGAGATCGGTGTCGGTTGTGACGGCAGCAGAGCCGACTTCGGGCTCCTGCTGAGCGGTCTGCTCGGTCTGATCCTCGTAGAAGCCCTCGCCTCGCAAGTACTCTTCCAGCTGTCTCTGATTTTCTGCAATCTCTGGGTCTTCATCATCCAGCTGCTGGCTGACTTCGTCCTCGTGCATGGAGGCAGCTTGAGTATCCTGAGCATCGGCGCTTCCGACGGCAGCCATGCCGACGTCCCTGTCGGTCGACTCAGCAACGGTGTCTTTCTCTTCGAGAGTAGCCGTTGTGCTCGTGTCGGTCAGACCGACAGGTGCTGACTGTTGCTCCACTGCTTCTGGCTCGACGGCCGAGGGTGTGATGACGGTGTCTGCGTTGTCGCTCTCTTCAGCGATGGCGGCGCCTCCTACAGCCCCAACAGCGGCACCAGTAGCTGCCTCGGCAGCTGGTGCGACCGGCTTCCTCTTGCGCGGAGCAGCAGTCCTTCGGGGCACAGCAAGAACCTTGGGCTCCTCTTCAGCCCCTGCGCTGATGGGTGAGCGAAGTTCAGCATCTCCAGCATCGCTCGTCGAGAGAGCAGGAGCTGCAGCCGCGTCTCCGGCTTCTTCGTTGGACGAGGTGGCAGCGGCGGTGGGAATGCTGATGCCAGGCTCGGACGTACTCCCTACTCCAGACCCGGTGCTGGAAGCCGTGTTGGTGCGGACGGGAGGCTTCGGTGCTCCGAAGGGCGACGGGCCACCGCCCATACGACGAGCGCCGAGAGCTGCCATGCGTTTGGCGATAGCTGCACGTCGTTCTGCCTCTTGCTCTTCCTCTGTCAATTCCTCCTTTGGCTCGCCGGCGTCTTCGACCTGCTCTTGAGTCTCGTCGGCCGCGCCGGCCTCATTCGCGGTGGCAGCTGCGGGATCGCCGGCTTCTTCGGAAGGCGTTGTGATGGGGGCGGGCTCTGAGCCATCCTGAGTCGCTGTGGTCTCGGATGCAAGCTCATCTGCGTCTTTGGTTCCGTCGGTAGACGACTTTCGTGGCGGGACCGCCCCTCCAGGAGCAAGTCCCATGCCCTGCAGAGCGACGTTGCGACGGTCAGCACCGATCTTGCCGGGCACTGCGGGCTTGGGCTTGATCTGCGGAGCAGCGTCAGAGGCAGCAGCTTCGTTGCGTTGCAGCGCGGCCATTCTCTCCTTCAGACTCATCTTGATGCTCGTCTGCGCATCAGCAGCACTGAATCCGCCGGAGGCAGCAGACGGGTCAGACGAGGTGGGAGCTTCAATGGTGTCTGTTGACGGTGCGACCGGCGCTGGCTTCGGCGCGGCAGACGCAGGGGCAGTCGCAGACGCTCCTGGAAGGATTGGCTTGGCCTCGTTGGATGTAGGTGTGGGTCTCTTCCATCCGCCAGGCTTGCCCTTTGGCAGGGGTGGCGGAGCGGCCTCGGCAGGTTTGTTGAACGCAGCAAGTCGGTCACGGAACGAGTTGGACATGCCGATGGGCTTGGTCGCCACAGCTGGAGGCGCCTTTGTTGGAGATGTGGCAGCGGCGGGTTCTGCCGTTGCTGTCCTTGAGCTTGCCTCGGTCGAAGTTATGTCTTTTGCACTACTCGCACCGACGGCACCGGCAACACCAGCTGCAGCACCTACAGCGGCTGCTCCGGCTGCAGCATTAGTAGCCCCCATACCGCTCTCCTTGACTTCGGGGACAGGGTCACTCGGTGTTTCCTCCTCCTCAGCGTTGGGGGAAGGTGGTCGAGGTGGCAGTGGTGCGCCGAAGCCAGCTTCCTCTGTCTCACCCCTTTTGGCTGCTTCGCGAGCCGCCTCGGGCACGACATCAGCGGAGTGCGACGAGGGCTCTTCTTCGACAACAGACGTTTGAAGATCGGTTGGAGCGTCAATTGGAATGGCGCCAGGGGCTGACGGGGCAGAGGTGGCTTCTGCGACCTTTGCCTCCGCCTCGTGGGAAGGAGCCTCGTCGACCTCGTCTGTCGGCTCGACGAAGCCACCTGGAAAGAAGCCGCTTCTGGAGCCGTCCAGCGTCTCACCGACTAGCCAGTCGTCGTCGTCATCATCGTCGTCGTCCGAAGGGTCCGTCTTGGGTGCGATACCGGTGACTCGGATGATTTCACCCTTGGCGAATGTGAGGTCTTGCTTGTGAGGGCTCTTGTACTTGATGGTTGCTTTTGCGAGGTATGGAAATGATGGCATGATTGCTCTTCTCGGTGTTGGAAGCACTCGTCACTGTGCAACACGAGGCACGATGACAGGCGCGTGTACCAATGGGTCGATGAAGAGAGTGAGGGTGAAGGAAAGCTTGAGCATGAGCAAGACTGTTGCTCAAACGAGGTGTTGCTGCAGCGGCTGTGCTGTGCACCCCTGAGCAGCAGCAGGCAGCGCACGGTTCAATCTGTGCTTGCCTCGGTGGAGGTTGAATCTCGAAATAAATGTCCTTGGAGCTTCTCGGCCTAACAAATGTACAGAAATCGCGGCCCGTTCTAGACCATCTCTGCAACTGTGACTCTGTCGCTCGCCTGGCTCCGAAATCGTTGGACCGTCTGACGTGCTCGGCTCTGGCTCGAGCTCGATTAAGGCTTGGCGCCTGCATATCTGGCTCCTGTTGCACACAGACATCTTGTCTTGATCGTGTCGGCGAACGGGTTCCAGCTTCCTTTCAACCCACCATGACATCGATCCACACCGGCAGAACCACGCCGTAGCAACCTTGCGGACATAGACATCCTATACACCCGGCAGTGCCAGTCCAAAAGCAGATTCGGCCATGTCGGCAGTACTGCGGCCTGTCAAGGCGGCCCTGAACCGAGTTCATGGAGCGTTCAGTCTCGAACTGCAGAACGAGGGCAGCGTTGCCCGCGATCACCTTGCATCGGAAAGGACCTTCCTCGCATGGCTCCGGACGAGTCTCAGTCTGGTCAGCATCGGCATGTGAGTACGCAATCTTGGTGGTAGAGGAGAGGCAGAAGAGGAAACTGACATATGTAGCACTGAATTCCGTTGTATCTCGGACAGCGCTGTGACACAGCTCTTCCAGCTCCCGTCGCTGGTCGGAACACCACAACACCCGCAGCCAGGGCTCGCTTTTCCACAAGACCCCGTACTCGACTGGTCCGACACAGCGCCCCATATCTTGCTCTCCCAGCGACTGGCCAACATCGCAAAGCTGTACGTGCCATCGCTCACCGCGCACTTTCACGAAGCAGACACTGACCGAATCCGATCCGCACCACCACAGAGGCAAGCCATTAGGCGGCTCGTTCATCCTCCTCGGCGTTTGCGCTCTTCTGCTCGGATGCTACCGCTACTTTGCAGTACAGGCCACGCTCGTACGCGGCAAGTTTATACCCTCTAGAGTCGGAAGTGAGTTCGGTCGTCGTCGTTACTACTTTTCAATGACTCGGATGCTGATGACCATATTGCCTTTTCTGATGCAGTTCTGACCATTTCATTACTTGTCGGCGCACTCGTGGTTGCAGCGACGGCTGTGATCCTTGCAGGGCGGCACACATACTAAATGCCTGATGGCCATCACGCCTTCTGGTAGACCACAGTAGATCCTATTGCTGGCCAAGCACAAGTGATCATGGTTAATCCGCTCACAGCAATAACGATGACGAGGACGACACGGGCGAGGTCAGGGTGATGATCAATGAGTGAAATTGGTATCTTGTATTAAGAAAGCAACGTCAGACATGACGAGCGGAGGGAGTGTCTATGGAACGCGCAAAACGTTTAAGAGTTGATCTCCTTCTGGGCCTTGCCAGACTCCTCCTGAGCCTTGCCGGACATCTCCTTGGACTTGTTGCCGGTGATGGAGCCGACAACGTTGTCGACCTTGCCGGAGACCTGGTCCTTGGTGCCCTCGGCGTAGCCCTTGGCCTCAGCCGACTTGATCTCGGCCTCACCCTTGGCGTGCTGCTCCTTGCCGGTGGACTGCCAGTCAGCAGAGCCGATGACGTTGCCGATGGTCTCCTTGACGGTACCGGCGACCGAGTTGTAGTTTCTGTTAGCAAGGATAGGATGCGATGAGGATGGATGGTCAGCTGTCGGGTTCCATGCGATGATGAGGAGGGGAGGGCCCGTGGTGAGGGAGAAGGTGGATTGCTTACCCGTTAGCCTTGGAAGGTTCAGCCATTGTGAATGATTTGAGTGTTTGTGTTGGTTTGAAGAGGGAGAGATGCGTTGTTCTTGGTGGGACGGAGAGGAGAGACGAACGGTCAAGGGAGAGGTTTATATGCTTTCGGAGAGGGAGCACGTTTCCAAGGCCAGAGGCAGCCTAAAGCCACAGGCGAGCCTCGTGACGGTAAGAGAGGGAGGGCAGCTTACGGCGGCGGATACCTCTGTGGAGCTTACACAGCGGGGCGGCCAAGGGTCTGACCCTTGAAGCCGCTTTCATCGAGTTGAGCCGTGCCAAGTCGGAGTTGAGTGACGTGTTGCTCGGCTTGTCCAACATCGACTCTGCCAGCCCTTAATCCATAAGCCTGGACCAACCTTGAGCTGATGCGGTCCCGTGTCTAGCCCGGATGGGCATCGTCACTCTGCATACTCATCCTGCCTAGCTACCGTCCCCAACTGATGAGACAGGCACATGGGATCCAGACGCTTCCGTCCCTCACAATAATGGACGTGCGGCCTCCGAATGCTAATGCAACTCGCTGCACAGCCAGACGCGGCTTCATTGTGGTTACCCATCGTGCGCTACATTGACATGTCATGATGATGCGCGATGCAATTATCCGTCATAAGGCGAAAGCCGATCGGCCCGGGTGGGCTGCCACGTACGCAACTACGCCTGCCTGCACATAACATGTCTGGCTGACCGGGTCAGGCACGCATCGAGCTCGGCGGTGAGCACCGGATGAAATGCCAAGTTGCTTGACTTGACGTCATTCTTGTAAGACAAGCTCGGCGGATGATGGTTCCAAGGTGTGGCAAAGAGTACACGCGGCTACCGCTGCCCAGACGAGATGCAGTACACAGTCTGGACCCTGTTCATGAACGCTTGCGGAGCGAGGGTGCGAGGCACTCCCCGTGAGATCCGGCAGCGCACACAGCCTCCCGAAACCTGTGCGGTCACAAAGCCCTCAACATCAGGCAACTTTCACGGTTAGGCAGGTTACGATCGAGCAAGCTGGCCATTCTGCAAGCCACGAGGTCATTCCTAGAATCACAAAACGGAAGTGGCTGATGCGCAAGTGTTGATGATGCCCGTGCAGTGTCATTTTCCCCACGTTTTTTCGGCTGTTTCCCTCCACTCTAGCCGCGAGGTGACGTCAGCTGTTCCCTCAACTTGGTGTGAGCCCAATTTGGAAATTCAATCGGCACCAACTTCGTGGCCTCCGAGGCGAAGCACGATGATGGAATCGGGGCTTCTTTTCGTTCTTTCCGTGCGTCGAGCTGCCGGTGAATGTCGGCACATCCCGATAGAGTGACTCGCCTTGCATACCCAATACCGGATGGTCCGCGCCGAGCTGACGTGGCACTGCGAATGAATGCTCGCTTGCGGTGGGGCTTGACAGCTTGGGATCGACCTCGGCTTTACTCCAGCCGGGCGAGCTCTATTCATCGTCAGGGGCGAGCTTTGATGCGCCTATGTGTCAGGGATCGACGCCCGCGTTCCCAGGCAACGGCTCCGTCACAATACAGCTTTGCACTCCATCACACATTTCACAATGCGAAGTAAGACGGCGATCGGTTGATAGGAGGAGCCATGCGATGGTGAGCATTGCAATGCAGTCTGGGCGCACAGTGCGCCGTTGTGAACACTTCTGATGCACGCTCAGGGCGCGTCACAAGCGGATCGGTGTGTGCAGAGGCCGCATGACAGGGGCATTTGAACGATGGTGACAGCTGCGTAGTTGTGACAGGTCCATTGTGGTGACACTTCAGTGGGTATGGCCTTCGTGACCTTCAGGATCCTCATGATCCGGCCAGTCCTCGAAGCCATCCTCGAAGATCTCTTGCAACCTCTGCTGCTTCTCTCCGATGCTACCGAGGTTGTCATCCTTCATGATCGCTTCCCACTGCTGCATCTCTTCGTCTGTCAGCAGACACTGATCAAGCGCAGCTTGCAGCCTCTCTTCACCTCCATCGCGCATACTCTTTCCGATGAGCACGATCTCCTGCCTTCGATCCCCCCAGTCACCTTGGAAGTCCTTCTTGATCGCTTCTACAATCTCCTTATCCTGAGGCCACATCTCTTCGTTCAGCTCGCACCTCCATCGTGCACCACCTTGAAGCGTGAGCATGATTCCAGCCTGGGACCACTCGCCGAACATCAGCGGTCGTGTAGCCAGCCAGACGAAGCCTTTGGATCGCAACAAGGGCCCGAAGGTCGAGCTGGCGTTCTTGGCTTCAAGTCGTGCCTGCGGGTTGAGCTGCGGTTGCGCTTCTATCTCGTCTTCCACGTCCATGTCTTGGGATGCGTCGTCCGATGCCGAATCGTCCATATTATCGTCTTCGTCCTCGCCGTCGTCGATGTACTCGCTCTGAATGACCACAAACACCTCGCGGATCGTCTCCCACAGTCTCGCGGTGTGGAAGGGTCTACGAGCACGATAAACGAAGCTGCCGATGCCGTACTCCTCCGTCTCGGGCTTGATCTCCTCGTTCAGGCTCTTGAGCCATCCTGCGCCGAGGGCAGCCTTCTCGTAGTTGAACAGGTTCGTGTTCAGAATCTCCCCGAGATCGACGCGACTGCGGGTGGTTGGGATGATCTTGGCCTCCGGATTGAGGAGTCGCACGAAAGCCACGATTCGCTCCACCTCGGCCTCGCTGACGAGATCGCACTTGTTGATGAGGATGACGTTGGCGAACTCGAGCTGGTCGGTTTGGAGGTCCGAGATGTTCCTGTCGTCCTCTTCAGGGACTTCGTGGTCATCCTTGTGTCGGTCCACGAGGAAGTCGACCGTGTTGAAGTCGTTGAACAAGTTGACGGCGTCGACGACGGTCACGCACGTATCGAGCCGCGCGACCGCCGGCAATCCACCCTGCTTCAGAATGGCTGCCACCTTCTCATCGCCCTCCATGTCGTCCGCCATCTCGGTATACATCGAGGCGAACTCCTCGGAAAACGTCTCGGCCACCTGCATCGGTTCCGAGATCCCGGTGCTCTCGATGAGCAGATAGTCGATCTCGCCGTCCGCCGCCAGAGCCGCTACCTCTTCGAGCAAGTCCCCACGCAGAGTGCAGCAGATGCACCCGTTCTGCATCTGCACCACCTTCTCTTCCGCTTGGGTGACTCGATGGTTCGAGAGAAGGGAGGCGTCAATGTTGAGTGCGCCCATGTCGTTGACCACGACCGCGACGCGGAGACCGTGTTTGGGCGAGGTGAGGATGTGTTCGAGGAGTGTGGTCTTGCCGGCGCCGAGGAAGCCGCTGAGCAGTGTTACAGGGAGGCGGTCGGTGCGAGTCCGCTTTTCAGGGGCTGTCTGAGCAAGTTCGGCGGGTCTTTTAGTCGAAGTCGGTACGATGGTGGGGTCGAATCTGCCGCCTGTGAAGAAGGTGCTGAGGAATGCAGCCTCGTCGCGCATCTGCTGACTCGTTCGAGGCTTGCGATCCTCGTCCGCATCTACTTTACGCTCCTGACCCGTGGCGAGCAGCTTCTTGATGTCAAAGCCCCACTGGTCCAGGTGAGCGTAGATCAGATCGTTTGGCTCGATATCCCCCGTCTTGCGGGGCAAGATATGCACGTGCAAATGCGGCACCGTCTGTCCGGCCCCTTCGCCATCCTGAACGCTGATCGTTAGTGCGTCGGCCTCAAAGACCTGTTCCAGTCCACGTGAGATCTCTTGCACGCTCTGAAACAGCGAGCTGACGACTTCGGATGGAACCTCTGACAGGCGGTGGTATGGGGTGGTGGGGATGACCAGCACGTGACCAGGCACGATGGGCTTGAGGTTGACGATGGCAGCGCAACACCCGTCGGGTGAGCGGTAGAAGGTCTGGGCTGTCACATCGAAGGATGCGAAGCGAGTCGAAGCGTCTTTCTTGTGCGCAATGTGCTTGGTAGCAGGTGCAGCAGGCGCTGCTTTTGGTGAGACGGCAATGGGAGCCATCTTGTCTATGATCGTCTGCGAAGGCGAAGATAACGACGAAGCACAGTGAAGTCGTTGTAGTCGAGAAGCATGTAGAGAAGGAGCGACGAAGCTTTTTGAGGAGGTAGGCGGATGCGATCGAGCTACACCGCCCTTCTCGTCTGTCGCAGGCTGTCTAAATCGAGTCGTCCTGGGCGGAACCTTCCTGAAAGTGTCGGGCAGAGGTCTAGGCGTACCAAACCAGGGCCTCGATCTGACCAGAAGGGTCGACCAAGACGACCTTACCGGTCCGCTCCCGTTGGCTGCCATATCTAGACCATCCCCGCCGGTGCGTAGCATCTTGCATTGCCGCAGACGGCAAGCATGGATGGAGAGGCAAGGACAAAAGTGCAGACCGTTTGTGTGCCCTGTCAAACACGGCCAGAGGAAGAAATCTGGCGCTGCCGAATCTCGAGCTCCCCGCAAGGGTCCACGAGTCGCAGACAGCGGCATTGGAAATCAGCGCTCCGAAGAGGACCTTCCCGGTCACATCATGACCATAACCGTGCCCGTTGGACAACCAATCTCGACGCTTCGATTAGAGGGCTTGCGTCTGATCACACATCAGCGCTCGGCTAAAGCCTTGATAAGGTCGTCGGCACATATGACAACCTTCGCAGTGACAAGCAATGACACACGAACTAAGGTATCTTGTTAATGGAACAGACGGAGCAGATACAGGACAGGACGATTATCGAAAGCGAGGCTCGAGGCGACGAAACACGTTTATCCCTCATGATCAACCCTTGCTAGAAACGACCGACTTGAGCTTGGCAAAGCCCGACTTGACCTTGATGCTGCCCTTCTTCTTGAGCCCGGCGGAATCGGTGCTGTCGTCGTTCTTGTAGTCGGTAGGGCCTTTCTTTGCAGCACCGTTGCCGTTGGCGTGACCGATTGCGTTGCCGTCAGCGGAGCCGTTGCTGCCGGAACGGCTGGCGCGAGCTGCCTTCCTAGCAGCCTTCTCGTCGGACGAGATGACCTTGTCGGTGTTGACATCGACGGCCTTGCGGGTATCCGCTTTGGAGGCCACGGGCGCTTCGTGGAAGACGTCCTTGCTGCTGTCTTTGTCCTTGCTGCTCTTGCGGCGGCGAGACGAAGCAGCAGCTCCAGCACCAGCGCCGGCGGCAGCACCACCAGCGGCTGCGCCAGCCGCCGCCTCCTCCCCCTCTCCGCCTTCCTCGCCCTCTTCTCCCTCTTCTCCCTCTCCGCCATCGACACCATTCTGCTCGGCTTCCTCTCCAATGCGCTTCTCGACATCCTTGGGGTTGTCGCCCTTCTCGATCGCCTTGATCTCCTTCTTGAGTGTCTTGACGCAGGCCTTGCGACCGACAACGTGGCGGATCACCTCGCCGTCCTTCTGCTTGTACTCCCAGGTGACGACACCTTGTCCGTCGAGGGTGCCGTTTCGGTGGTAGACCGTCTTGCCGCGGAAGTAGGGCTCGTGCTCGAACTGGGCGACACGCAGCTTCTTGACGAGCAGCTCGCGTTTCTTGACGACCTCCTCATCCTTGCCCTTGGTCTCGCACCACTTGCGCGTCACCTGCTCGTACTCCTTGGCCACCTTCATGTACTTGTCCCACGTCTTCTTCTTTCCCTCCTCGTCCTTGGTCTGGTCGTTCTCGCCCTCTTCGGGCTCGATGAACTCGAACTCGTTGACGTTGTTGCCGCCCATGTTGGACATGAGGCGCTCCTTGGGCACGTTGTCGAGGTCGTCGGGCTTCTTGGTGAACTTAACCTTGGATCGCACCACGGGGTCGAGCATGGGTCCGAGCAGCTTCCAGATACCGGAGAAGACCCAGGGAGCATTGTGAATGTAGAGGATGGCCAGCGATTCAGGGTAGTAGGCCTCGAGACACTTGACAATGAAAAGAATGCAGTTCCAGTCCATGTTCTTGAGACCGAAGCCGGTCATGTCGAAAAGGAGCACCACCTTGTCGTTGGGCGGCTGCATGAGCAGGCGGAACGATTCCATGGCGTAGATAACGTACTTGGACATGGACGCGCCGGGCTGGCCGTAGGTCATGTGCTTGGCCACGTGGATGTAGGCGATGGGCTGCTCGTCGTCGGTGGTGCCCATGGCGTAGGTCTTGCCCGAGCGCTGCTGGTCGAGGAACTTTTCGATCTGGGCATTGCCCAAGTCACCGTTCTCGGCGAGCTCCTCGACGTTGTTGTCGAGACGCCACTTCATGCAGCCGGCCATCATGGCGAAAGCACGCGAGACGTCCCACTTTCGCGCACGCAGGAAACGCAAGACGTCCGTGTCCGGGTTGTCCATCTTGACAAACTTCCAGAAGGTGGTGCGCAGCGCAGAGCCGCCGTAGGTCTTGAGGAGGTCGTCGAGCGCGGCCATCTCCTCTTTGGCCTTCTGCTCCTCCTTGGCCTTGTCGTCCTTGGGGATGCCGGCGCCCTTGGGACCATCCTGCTTCTCGTCCCAGCCGCCGAGATCGCCGCCGCCACCGCCGCCCTTTTTGCCTTCGCCATCATCGTCTTCGGCGTTTCCGCAGGTTTCGAAGAACTTCAGCCATAGCTCCTGGAGCTTGCCCTCCTGCTCCTCGGTGAGGTTGCCTGTTCCAGCAAAAGGGGATGAGTACAATTCCGGTGACAGTCAGTCAAATGCGCGCTCAGAGCTTGGCGTAAGACGGCAACCACTTCCGAGCAGTCGCCAGGAGAGCCGGTGAATGGTACAAATGGGATCAACTACTCACCGACATAGCCGGGCTGGATCTCAACGTCCTTCTGGCCGATTTCGGTCACCATGATGGACAGATGCTAAGTACGATCGTATCGAAGTCGTGACTCGACGTTGTGGATTGGTGTAAAAACGAAGGAGGAGGTTGGTGTAGTAAGGTGAGGCGCTGTGATCAGCTTCTGTGGTTCGTTGTGACAAAGGCTGAGTGGTATGAAGCCTTTCTGTATCGATGTGGTGTGATGAAAGATAGAGGATGTGATACGATTCAGAAGGGGTGAGGAAGCCGATGATCAGCGAAGGCTGGACTATATACGCTTTGGCTGCACACACGTTCGGCCGTTCCGGTTCGAGGATGTGGCACACTGTAGGAAAATATGACGATTGCGGAAGCGCGGCAATACTCTTCGAGAAGGCAAGGAAGCGGTCTCTCGTACCGTCTCGCTTGGCACGCACACGAGGCTCGAGAGAAGAGCGGCCAGAGGGAGCGGTGTGTAGCTGCCGAGACTAAGCTTTGAGCCCACAGCAGCGGTTGCTGATCTGAACAGGAGCCGCTCCACCGCGGTAGTGCTGCCCGTTTTCTGCAATGCAACCCACTGCACTGGAGATCTTCCCTCCTTTCTAGCTTGATGAACGGCGCGCCATGGCCACTTTACCATCCAAGGACACCGTAGCACCACCGCGACATCGGTCTGAAGGTCCTCTCATCATCATCTTTAGCAGCAGTCATCGCAGTAGCATCGACATCATCATCATCGACGGCCAAGCTCGCTAGGGCTTTGGGCACGGACGTCAGAACCGTATGACGGCAAGATTTCACAAAGGCGGGGTTGGCTGCAAAGCCGGGGAAAAGCAAGTCTTAAAACGCGCATTTGGATGGAGCGGAGTGCCAATCTGAGCCTGCTCTCGTGCCCAAGGTGGAGGGACAAAGGGAAGAAGTGTAATGAGCCAGCAAGAGGTGCATACAAAAAGCCCCCTTGCCGAGCTCAAGATTGCGTAGCCGAACGGAAATGGTAACGAGACGTGAAAGCTGAGCTTCGAGCAAGGGACGGGCGCTGGATGTCGATCGTCTACCGTTCTTGAGTGCGAACGGCCTAGCATGGTCGAAGTCTGGCGTTGCAGCAACTGACTAGCAGAGGCAGCACTAGCTTGGTAATTTGACTTTTGTTCTGACCAGAGTTGCGATCCGAGAGACGCAGCGCCCATATGTCTCCCTCTCACCTCGCGATCAGGTGGTAACCGCGGCTGCCTGGGCTAGAAGACCTTATGCGCTTTTCCCCGCATTCCCCAAGACAGGCAGCATCGACACTCGCCAGTCAGCCTCTTGAGCGTTTCTTCTTGGCTCATGTTTCGCGCCCGATTCGTTGTCATGACACTTCATCAGCTGATGGATCGACGGTGCCTGCGCTGTGGTATGAGACTAGCGGCTCGTGACATCCGATTGAGAGGATCATGTTGCTATTGTGAGACTGGTCTCATCGAGTTGAATGGCCATATCATCTGAGATCTCGTACCACCAGTTGAGACAAAGGCAAAGACCTCGCTCGACGGAATCTTGACCCTGGACAGACACGACCTGGCTGTCTTGCTGTTGCGCCACGTGATGGAACCACCCGCTCGGAAGATAGAGCGTCTCGCCTTCATGAACGCGGATCTTGAGCGCCGGCAGAGCGTAGCCGTACTTGGTCTGTGGAGTGTGCTTCCGAGGTAGCACTCCATCTGCTTCAGCGAGGTTGAGGTCGCGATGGACGAACGGTGCATTGCGCTCGGCGTCCTTTGGCAGCGTCGGATCGACCGGTATCCATCTAGTCGTCGCTCCCCCGCTCTCTCCCTCTAGCTCAAGTTGCCCTGTAGGTTCCTTGATGTATTTGTACACAGGATACTCTTCGTCGTCGCACAGAAAGCAGGCTTCTGCTGGAGGATAGACGGTGAACTCCTTCCAGCCTCGCACCACGGTGAAGAGATTCTCGTAGTAGTCGCGATGCATCGAGGTACGCGACGAGGACGTGCCGATCCAGATATTGGTCGCCTCGGGAGGGTATCCGATCGCCTGCGTGGCCCAAGGCAAGTCGCTGCGGTTGTCTCCGGTGGTTCCTGTCTGCTCTGTGGCTGCACGTAGCTCTAAATCGCGTAAAAGAGGTGACAGATCGCCATACTCCTGGACGCTGAGGTTCGAGTTCTGAGACTGCAAGTAGGCAATTGTATCTGCCTTGCCCTCCGCTTGCTCTGACAGGCGTGTCAGCAGCTCGGAGAAGGGCATGTTCTCTTCCAGAGGCAGCGCAAAGACCGGAGCCCCATGTTCAGGATGCTCAATGAGGTCGTCGGCCCTGCCATCGGGAGTGATGGCCACCACCACGCTTCGATTGGGACCCATGCAGGACTCCAAATAGCTCGTGTCTTTCCATTTGGCGAGCCCGGGACGACCCATCATGCATGCTTCGATCAGCACTGGCACGTGCTCCTCGATGATCTGCTTGAAGTTGTTGGCAGTCGGAGGCTCGGCCAGTCGCGAGGGCCAGTTTTGCCCTCCTTCGTTTTGCGAGAAAGGGATGCCCTGCTGCTTGCGTGACAAGACAGCTCGTTCGCGGAGCAGCAGCATGAAGGGGTCGTCGACATCCTCATTCGGCTCCGTCATCGTCGAGAGCTGTCCGCAAGTGGTCGGGCCATTCTTAACAGCTGCAGCCCAAGCTGATTCCGATGGTCCTCGTCGTTGGCGAGAAGGAAGTCAGAAAGTCGAGTTCAGGGTCCAACACTGCCGGTTATAGATCGGGCGATCGGATGACGAGCTGAAATTGAAAAAAAAAAAAAAAAGGCGGTGGCTCAAGACGCCGG